TAGTGTTTGCTAATCTTTAGGGCTTCCACAAACCATGGGTGACGCCTAGCAGCATGTCATGGTTACCCAAGCTAAGTAGAGGTGGTTGGAGAACCTATCCAGTTACAACTACAATGCAATACGGTCCTTCTCTAATACAATACTCTTAATCACATTGTTTAAGTGATAGTTTGTTTCATGTCTACTATCCAATGTGATACTTCTCTATATGATTCAATTGAATAAGATTTGGAACAAGCTTCCTTAGTCATATTCATATGCTTTGGCCAAAGACTCTCGAATCATATCTTAGAGTATTCTCCTTCCACCATGGAAGGTTAGAGATCCCTTGTTGTGCATTCATATGCCTACATGACTAGATAGCTTGACCCCAACAATGCCGTGGACACTCCAATGGAATGCCGTTGACATAATCAAAGATCAAGGACCTAACCATTAGACATCAATGATGCCTCAGGTCAAAGGACTACTTTGCATATTGCAACTATTGAGTTCTCACATGACATGTATGTTCGAACTCTCGTTTGATCGTTGTTCAGTGTACTCGATTACTCTTTCGAGCACCTATGTGTTTGCCTTAGTGTCCAACACCAAATGACTTGAGACTAGTTCATACTCACGCTTGAGTCGACATAACACATACTAACCTTAGCGGATTGTCAATGCCCAATTGGCAATCCTATGGCTAGGAACGTTTTAGGAATGAACATAAGAGAAAGGTCCTGTTAATTTAACTAACTTAAATCACTTGTCTCTTAGATCAAATACATTCCTTGGATTCCCTTATTGCTTAAACACAAGATACTATAAATAGTGATTAACAATAAGCTTTGCCCTCTATTAAACATATAAAAGTTTAACACAATAAGTATTCCAAAAAAGCTATTACATCAAATGAGTGGCTTTATGGGCATACTTCCAACATAAATTTCATCATGGTCTTTCCCTATTTGCCTCTCATGAACTTACTCATGCAAGCTCATGAGTAGCACCAGTAGTAGCACTAGAAGCAAACAATATAAATTGGCAGCGGCGGCAAATAATGGAGGAGGAGCAGACGGCACAGCTGCGCGAAATCTTCCGATCGTTTGACGGCAACAAAGACAGCAACTTGACCGAATCGGAGTTGTAAAATAATTGACTAAGAGATCAATGAAGAGTGTAGAATAATTGCAATACGGTGATTTAGCAAGTTAATGGAGTTTTCTCTCCCGTTAGGGTGAGAGTTTCTCTCCGCACTAGAAGAAAAATGTTCATCTACCACGGTGATTGCCCGTGATAGATTGCAATCCACCACAAACATTGTGCCCGGTAGTAATTTGGAAGTGATAAAAAGTCTCAATTTCTTCCACGAGCTATGCCCGTTGTCAAATGTAATGTAACCACAAACAATGCCTATTGTAGATTGGAATTTACCACAGGTACTACTGCTGTTGTGGATTAGTTATTTACCATGAGTAATGCCCGTTATAAAAAAAAAATTCCAAAAAATTCCAAAAAAAAGAAAAAAAAAAAAATATATATATATATATATATATATATATATATATATATAAACCCACAAAATTGGAAATTTACTATAAATACATTTTTTTAAATAATCACATATTAAAAAAGAATTACAAACTGTACAAAGCTAACAACACCATCATCGATTTTCAATTTTTTTTAATCTCTTAAACATACCCATTCAAATATACCAATTGTTATATGTAAAATATACCAATTTCTTTTAATGTAAAACATACCCATTTTTTTTATGTAAAATCTATTCACTTTTCTTTTAATCTATTTTTTAAAACATATATGGGTACATTTTTCTCATTGATTTGAAAATGTATTCACGTGAAGTTATTCAAAGAAATTTATTAATGTTATTAAGCCTAGAATTCATTATTATTATTTTTCATGATTTTGAAGAATGTACCCATGTTTTCAATTTGAAGAATTTACCAAATGTTTTATGGTACAGTAACTTTTGGTTAATATTGATGAATGTACTATATATATGTACACAATGTGTTTTACAATATGTGTGTACATACTTTTTATGGCAAAACATGTTTTTCTACATCACCGGCATTGCCTCATCATCCTATCATGAGACGTTTCGTGCTTTTTACTTTTAGTTTCTTGTTACGTTTTTGGACAATGATAAAAAAAGCTTTGCATGGCCACGTTGTGAATGTAACATAATCCCTACAAATATTGACTGTTCCAATTTATATGATCCTATAGATAGAGCACCACAACCATGGTCGAAAAAAATTAAACAAAAATTAAAAATAAATCGTCGCCTGAGAGGTTCGAACTCTCGCGGGGGATCCCCATGCACTTAGCAAGCACACGCCTTAACCACTCGGCCAAAGCGACTATTGATGACGTAGGAGGCTACTAATCTTTTTTAATTAATTATTTAATTAATCAAAGTCCTTGTTTCTAAATGAGAATCCTCAAGATCTTGAGGATCCTTCAATCACATTCGTTCATCGTACATCGTGCATATATTTTTCTTCAGGTACGGTTTATATTCAACTTTAAATTAAAAAAAATACAATGATTTATGATCATACGATATACGATGAACATACGTAATTGGAGGGTCTCAGAGATCCTCACAAAGAGAATTCGGAGAGGATCCTCGTCCCTAATTTTCTCTCGTGAACTTAGTCATGCAAGCTCATGAGTAGCACCTAGCACTAGAAGCAAACAATATAAATCGATGGTGGCGACGAATAATGGAGGAGGAGCAGACGACACAGCTGCGCGAGATCTTCCGATCATTTGACGGCAACAAAGACGGCAACTTGACCGAGCCAGAGTTGTTAACTAATTGACCAAGAGATCAATGAAGAGTGTAAAATAGTTGCAATAAGGTAATTTAGCAAGTTAATGGAGTTTTCTCTCCCGTTAGCGCGAGAGTTTCTCTCCGCACTAGAAGAAAAATGCTCATCTACCACAATGAATGCTCATGATAGATTACAATCCACCACAAACATTGTCCCCATTAGTAATTTGGATGTGATAAAAAGTCTCAATTTCTACCACGAGCTATGCCCGTTGTCAAATATAATGTAACCACAAACAGTGCCCGTTGTAGGTTGAAATTTACCACGGGCACAATTGCCGTTGTGGATTACTTATTTACCACAAGTAATGCCCGTTATTAAAAAAACATGGATAAGGCAAATACATTTTCTGAGAAGCCATGAACACGAGTCGCACCATTCGTAGCCACCATCTGCGTCTCCATTCATTAAGCACCCATAACCTGAACGTATAAGAAAACAACTTGAAATCAGGATTGCCATTTATTTACATCTAAGTAATTGGATGCAATTACATATAGAGCGGGCGAGAGATAGCGAGACCTTCATACAAACTGTTCTTTATTACACTGGAGCTTTTCCCTTAACATCTCAATCAGAACAAGACATACCCATACACATACCTAAGAAGCAAAGTGGATCATCCCACTGATTTTTTTATCACAATGGACATATTTCAAATCTATGGGTTACCAAGATTTATTCAAGCTTAGGTTATTTAATGAAATTGAGGGAAACATCTTCAATTTTACTAACCATATGATGGCACCTGAACTACAACAGTATTAGAACAAATACAATACAAAATTAAAATACAAGAGCAAAGTTCCAAAATTTGAGTGAGAATATAGAGAATCAAATTCAAAACAATAACCCTAAAATCCGTCCAAATATTTGCATACCAATTTCTAAGCCATAAAGTGAGAAAGGCTAGCCGCCGCCCGGGGGGGGGGGGCGGCGCTTGCTATGGATATTAATCATATTAACCACGAGTATTACGCGTGGTGGCTTAGTATATTTACAACATGCAACTTTGCACGTGGTTATTAATTAATATTTTACCACAGACTAAAGTTTGCTTATGATAAAAATTTGTTAGTTACCACGTGCTCACCATGCCCATGGTAAATTTGTATTTTTTACAATGGACTCTTAATGCCCGTGATCAAATTGTCATGGTAGATGAGATGTTGTCTTGTAATGTCGGTGTGTGAGAGTTCAACCTTCTGATTTTAGTTCATTCAAGCTGGTTTCTTCAGCTTTTCCATACCCTAACAGCCGCCGATCCTAGTTATGGATGCCATCTTCCACCGCAACAGGTTTGATGGGATTGGTTTCCTCGGTATCTGAGTTTCGATCTAGAAGCTCCTCGGGTTAATCGATATAGTTTATGAATTTATTGAGCTTAAGATGTCCCTCTATAATTGACTTAACTCATTTGTGCTTATCAGTCTATTTTAATGTTGGATCAAATGGGACAATTTATAATAAAAAAATGCCTGAGAAATCAATTTATAAATTATTTTTGTAAACCACATGCGGCTGATAATTAAGCACTTTTTTTTAATAGAAAAAATTATAGTAATGGTCTTTTAATTTTAATTCAATTAGAACATTAGTTCATCAACTAAAAATTCATAACAATTGGTCTCTTAACTCATCAAAACGTGCAGCTATAGTTCTTTTCGTCAACTTAGTTAGAATTCCGTCAAAATGAGTTATGTTGGAAGGACCGTTGTTACAATTGGGTTATGTTGAGGGATCATTGCTCCAATTGAGTGAAAGTTGAAAGACCATTTCTCTAATTGGGTTAAAGTTGAAGGAGTATTGATCCAATTTTTCTTATTTTGTTTTCCATATTTGCCCCTCTATTCAGCCTCACTTGTGTGACACGTGACTCATTTTGGTGAAAGTTCTAACGGAATTAACGAAAATGATCATAGTTGCATGTTTTAAAGAGTTAAGGGACTAATAATCATAAATTTTTAGTTGAAGAACTATTACTCTAATTAGGTTAAAATTGAGAGACGATCGCTACAATTCCTTTTTAAGGGTTCACTTACCAGTTACAACACATTTTTATCTTTTTGATTAAATCTCAAATTAAAAATTTTCCTTTTGAAATACCGCCATTCACAATATTGTGTTTCGCGGAACACCAAAACTCATTGCGCCTCTCCCCTGAACCCGGTCGCTGCTACCTAGAAGTTCTCTCTCGTCCACTTGGCGGGCTCATCAGCCTCATCCGCATTCGTTCTCTAGGAAACTCTCTGTCTCTCTCATATATATATATATAGAACCGTATAGTGGTGGCACGTCCAGTGTAGCAATCATATGTGGGCGTCGCAGAGAATCATCTATGCTCTCGCTCTCACTCCTCCCCTCTCGTCTTCGTCCGCCTTCGTTTCCGGAACCTTCCTCTTGCTCCGCTCCTCCTCTCCTTCCTCCGCCCATCCTGGCTTTCTCCCTCCCTCGCTTTCTCTCTCCTCTTCCATCTCTCTCCCCCATTCCACCATGCCTTACAACCAGGTACCAATTTTATCTTATTTTAATTTGACTTTTCTTTTTTACGCTGTTTTTGTATATTTCGGCGATCATTTTCTGTTTCTTTTTTTTTTTTTTTTTTTTTTTGCAGCTCGTTTACTTTGAATATGATTATAAATTTGATTGGTGGCGGTTTCGGTTTGTTGATCGTCGTCTGAGTAATTTTCTTGGCCGAAACGTTTTGTTGCGAATCGGTTAATTGCGATTTGTGAATTTCGAACCGTGTTGTTATGCACTCCATTTGTAAATGTTTGGCGGAGATTGCTTATTATTGCTGTGGAAGTTGATCGTTCGCCAATTATGGTTAAATTGGATGAATTTAGCTTTGTAATTCGGGGTGGTATTTCGGGACTGTATCGTTGTTTCTGTAGTGTGATATTAGTTTCAGCGAAAACTTGGTTCGGCCCATATAAATATTTGGTATTCTTCTGTAGTAGTAGGAAAATTATAGCAGTATTATACATTGCGCGGGAGTGATTGTATATATCTTAATGCGGTTCTGGTCCCGGTTTAGGAGTTGTAATGACATTGCCTCCTGATAAAGTGAAGAGCCTCACGGCCTATATACATTGTGGTGAAGACTGGTTGTTTTTACTTTAGTTGAACATTGCCTTGCTTAAGTGTATGATTGGGATGTTTGGTTTACTTTGCAGCAAAGGGGTGGGTGTACAGAACAAAAGTGGACACAAAAGCAAAAGACTGACAGCCCGTCCACGTCCACTGGGGATTCTCCAGCAGCTGTCACTTACAGAGTTGGTGAGTTGAGTCTTACTGGAGGCAATGGACAGGCCAATCCTTCAGTTGAACCCACACAGTTTGGGAAGGTCCAATTGGCAAATCAGGGTCCAGTTCAAGGGCAGAAAGGAATTTGGATGCCAAAATCATATGGGACAGTGAGCGGAGCTAAGGCGGTAGAAGTTGAATCAAATGTTGATAAAAGTACAGTTGGAACCCAGGGAAATGGAGCTCAACGAGCAGCAGCTCCAAAAACCAGAGTTGGTTTAAGTAAGCTGTTCAATGGTAATCTGTTGGAAAATTTTACTGTGGACAACTCCACCTATGCTCAGGTGCAAATACGAGCTACTTTCTATCCCAAATTTGAAAATGAGAAGACAGATGGGGAGGTATATTTCTCTTCATGCGTTTCCAATTTCAAATATATTTATCCATTTGTGTCTCTTGTATGGGAATTACCAACATCAATAGCGCTATGCAGGTTTTTTCTCCAACAACTAGCATGTGCTTGCGTCACTGGATTACGTTATATAGCCAAGGAAAACAAATAGAAATGTTCTCATATTTTATAGAATAGTGATGTGATTAAATGGCTACTTGCCTTTAGATAATGATGACATTGTTTATTTATTCTTGGATCTTATCTGAATACTTGTCTGATGACTATTTCTTTATTCAGATTAGGACAAGGATGATAGAGATGGTATCTAACGGCTTGGCTACCTTGGAGGTAAGGGTGTTTTATGAGCTATTGAATTGCTTTCTTGCTGCATGGACATTTTACCTGTTGGCCTTCATGTTAGCAATCATTCTTACTCTCTCGTAAGAGTTGGGAAGCCTCCAGTTGCTTATGCTTGCTTAGATTTACAGTTTTCTGGTTGATTCAATTTGTTTTTATTTTACTAAATTAATCTTCAAATGAAGAATTTATTGACTATGAAACATTTTGCAGGTTTCACTTAAACACTCGGGGTCTCTTTTTATGTACGCCGGTAATAATGGTGGGGCATATGCCAAAAACAGCTTTGGGAATATGTATGCACAAGACGACCATTTCTTCCCATCCTTTTTATATTATTTAATTGTTCAATTCACTCAATGAACGAAAAGATCAATGGAGTCAGTTGTGTTAAATATCTTGTAGTTTCTTTTTTAACCTCATGTCTTGAAGGGCCTGATGTGTGCAGTGCACAAGCAAAAGGACATTGTATTCCTTAGAATACTGTTCGTAATTTGTACAATACACGAATTTCTTAACTGTAAACTTTTATTAAGTAAATTTGTTCTATTGCTTATGTCATCATTAATTGGAATACTTAAATGAATCTGATTATAGAGCAAGCTCTGGAACCATTTTGGGAGAAAAAATCTGATCGAGGGAAACATTTGATTGAAACTTTATGTGTTGCATGTTTCCACTATATCTGCATTTTTGGAACCAGTGCTTGAAACTTAATTTGTTGGATGTTTCCACTTTATCACTAATTGGAATACTCAAATGAATCTGATTACAGAGCAAGTTCTGGAACCATTTTGGAGAAAAAATCTGATCGAGGAAAACATTTGCTTGAAACTTAATGTGTTGAATGTTTCCACTATGTCTGCATTTCTTCCTTGTTCTGTACTTATTTATAGAGGTTAGTCGTGGTTTGCTGAATATTCTATTTCTACTACAGATATACGGCTGTAGGTGTATTTGTTCTTGGACGGATGTTTCGGGAGGCATGGGGACGTGAAGCACCAAAAATGCAAGAAGAGTTTAATGATTTCCTTGAGGTTTTCTATTCACATGAGAAACCTGAACATAAAGAAAACTGATCTTCATTAATAACTATAAATTTCTTCCTTTCTGTGCTTGTTTAGTCAAATCTAAGGTTGACTGTGATAGTTCTTAAAAATAAAAAAATTTATTCTCGAGAGAGGCTAACTATTTTTATCAAAGTATTGGTTTTTGGCTGAATTTAGACTTCAGCCTTTTCTAAATTTGTTTATTTAATAACTTAGTCACCGGTGGTTATGCTTGAATAAATCTTCTTACTCCCTTCCCCTAATTTTTCTGTTGGTCACTATTTCAGAGGAATCGTATGTGCATATCAATGGAACTCGTAACTGCTGTTCTAGGAGACCATGGACAACGCCCGAAAGAAGATTTTGGTACTGAGTTACTATTTTATAATTCATTTTCCTGTGGATTGTGTTAAAGTACTCTGTAAAGTCAGATGCATGGTGTCTCTCCCCTGGCTTTTCCAGTGCGTCATATATTATTAATGCCCATTTTAATTATATTAAAATTTGACTCTAAACATGTTTGTCTTTTAGGATAATTTTGTCGTTTATTGTTTCTTGAATTTCCAGAATAAGGAACCATGATTGTAGCTGATTGCACTTGTCATCACTTGTATTTGATTCAAGTGATGGGTAAGCCTTTTCTCAATATTCGCAAAAAGATTTTCAAGCTCATGTGATTTTTTATTTATTAAACAGCTGTGGTGACGGCAGTCACAGATTTGGGCAATGGAAAGCCAAAGTTCTACTCAACCCCTGAGATAATTGCTTTCTGTAGAAAATGGCGCCTACCAACAAATCATGTATGGCTGTTCTCAACAAGGTGACAACCAGTAATTTCCATGTCACACGAATGGTTATGGTCATGGCAGTTATGTTTTCTAGTCATACTAAGTTTGAAAGATAATAACTTCTTTGCTTTCAGTCTAGGCAGTTACTTGATACTAAAGTTAGTACAATCTTCGGGTATTTCAAAGGAGCAGTTGCATTAGGACAGTTGATTTGTTATAGTTATTGCAATTTTATCATTAATGAAGTCCTGATGAATCTTTTTCTTTGTGTATTACAAAAGGAAGTCAGTGACATCATTTTTTGCTGCCTTTGATGCTCTCTGCGAAGAAGGAACTGCAACACCTGTATGCATGGCTCTTAATGAAGTTGCAGATATATCTATACCAGGTAAACTCTTCAGCGAATTTGCTTTAATTTCGATTCCCACTTCTAGTGATGCCTGTTAGCTTACCTCTTCATAAGTATTGCCTGTTAAACAACCTTTGTAGGATAAAGGGGAAAATGAAGACCGAAGTTATAGAAGCATTGTGTTTATAGTATATTGCAACACTAAAGCTTTGTCAATCACTTGAAAAAGAGGCTTTTGAACAAAATTATTCGGAACATGAATACTGTTAATAAATTTAGAATAAAATGGGTATTGATGATTGTGTATCCGAAAGGTGAACATGTTAATGAGATTTTCCATTTCCTTTGTTGTTTGTTTTGTGTTATCCCCAGTTGGACACTGGTTTCAAGAGGTATTTGTGATGTTTGGAACTCGATTGTAATACTGTTTGCAGGTTCAAAAGATCATGTAAAGGAGCAGGGTGAAATCTTAGAGGGCATTGTTGCTCGTATTGTAAGCCAGGAAAGCTTAGAACATATGGAAAAAGTCTTGAAAGATTTCCCTCCTCCACCAATGGATGGAGGTATGATGTTTCCTTCTTCATCTTTTTTTTTTTTTTTTTTTGTGGGGGGGGGGGGGGGGGGGGGGGGGGGGGGGGGGGGGGGGGGGGGCGCATTATAGGTACTTTAACCTGGAGTTTTTTTTGTGGGTGTGTTGTTCTTCCAATTCAGCCACAACATTCACTTGAAACTTATTAAACTCTTGTCTCTCTTTCCCTTTTTGGTACCTAAATGAATTTTTCTGCTAACAAAAGGTTGAAATTGTTGTTGCATGTTAATTTGTTTCCATTGATCTCCCAAATATATTCCATTACATTTAATGATGCAAACAATTTTTTGCCTTGCGCTATACTTGCCTGGTCTTAACAATCCATTCAAAAAGTTCTTCCTACTTCCCTCTTGAAGATAATTTTGTTGACCCATGGGAATGCTAGTCAGTTTTGAAGCTTTCTTTTCATTGTTTAGATCATCACTGGGTTTACTCTATGTTTCAGCGGGTCTTGATTTGGGACCGAGCGCAAGAGATATTTGTGCTGCAAATAGGTCGAGTGAAAAGCAGGTTATAGTTATTGTTTGGATATGAGATTTCTATTGCTTTGCTGTTATCAACAATATTAGAATGTAGATGTACTATTTTTAAATAATTTTTCTGAAATCCTCATGCAGCAAATAAAAGCGCTTCTTGAGGGTGTTGGCTCCTCTTTTTGCCCTGACCATTCGGACTGGTTTGGAGTTGGAGCTGGTGACAACCATTCCAGAAACGCAGATAAATCTGTGCTATCAAAACTTTTGCAATCTCATCCTGCAGATTTTTCTACCACCAAATTGCAGGTCATTCTAGTCTTCATTTCAATCTTCTTGAAATAATAGCGTCCGCAAAATTTTACAGACGAAATCCAGTCAATCGTCGACCATTAAAAAAATTATATATCCAGTCAATCTTAAATGCATGCATCTCTGTCCACATATTCTTTTAATGGTTTACTACATACAATCCACTGTGAACTGCTAGTTTTGATCTACAATTATCCCTTTGTAAATAATATTCTATTTATTGAATCAGGAAATGATTCGTTTAATGAAAGAAAAGCGTTTTCCTGCTGCCTTTAAATGTTACCATGACTACCACAAAATTGATTCCATATCAAATGACAACCTTTTCTATAAAATGGTCATCCATGTCCATAGTGACTCTGCGTTCAGGCGTTACCAGAAAGAGATGAGGTATTTTTCAAATTCACTCTCTAATCTCTATTATGTTATTTTGAGATTTCTTTTTGAATGCTAGACTTTTGTTTATATTTTTGTTCTTCTTACTTTATTTTTTACACGTCTTGGGTTCATTGAGCATACGTTTTGGTGCATTTCAGGTCTAAGCCAGGACTGTGGCCTTTATATCGAGGTAAAAAAAAAAACCCTTGCTGAGCGGAAAAATTCACGCTTATAACCAGTTAATATTTATTTCTGTACTGGACAATGGACATGTTTTATAGATTGTCTACTCAATAATGGTCGTTGAAAGTATGCACATTGGACATAGGGTTTTGGTTCTTATTTTGTTTAACCTTTCAATGATATTATTTTATCTTTTTGGTGTCATCTTGGTACAAGTGAGGCATAAGTCTGGTTAGACTGAAGGTCGAGAATCAATCTTTCATTGCTTTTTTCTTAACTATAAGCCCCCATAACATTCGGTGAACCTTTCTATAATGCATGTGTCTTTTAATGAATGATGCAAGCATATATCACACCTTGGAAGAATAGGTTTGCCTTATATTTTGTTTTGCTTTCTTGAGTCGTTTATTCAGTACTGAATCTGATACACTTAATATTTGTAGGTTTTTTTGTTGACATTAATTTATTCAAGGCAAGCAAGGAGAGAGCTGCTGAGATCGCAAAAGGCAAAAGCAGCATTGTGGAAGATGGTAACAGTGGTATGCCTGGAAAATATGGATTGGCTGACGAAGATGCAAACTTAATGATAAAACTGAAATTTCTTACATACAAGGTATGTAGTCCTATCCTAGTAGAATAGTATGTAATCATAAAATTCCCTCAAGGAAGCAAAAATAGTATGGTGATTGTTCTCTTTTTCCTGTCAAATTTATTAGAAGAATACTTTTCACCATATAAGGCTGATAAATAGACCTTTCTTTTGTTTGAAAATGGCTATGAAGGTGGTACATTATTATAATAATAGTATCTAATCAAGATTATATCCTCTGGATTAGCAAGGTTAAATCAAATGGATAGCAGCTAAAATATTTTACTGACAATAATGAATTCTTACATAAATTCTGTATGGCGACTGAAGCAAAATAGTGCAACTAGTGTGTTCCTTATTGAAGGGATTAAAGTGAATGAAAATACTAGTAGGCTAGCTATGTTTTAATATGGTATATGGTGGATGTAAAGTATTAAATAAGAAAATGGAAGTGGCAGAAACAAACTGTTGAATTGAAGTACCAATTGTCTACTGGATCTTGTAACTCGCTGTTTTGTTTTCCAATTGTTTCCTCTTTTCCTTTGTTGGGTAGAGTGTTTTGTAGTTTTTATTGGTGGAGAGAACTCATGCATGGCGGTGGTGTGTCAGAGTATGAATAATTTGTTCACTCATATCATATACTAACAACTTAAGCTTTCCGACAGTTATCATTTGGTACTACATCTCTTGATTTCTTCATTTTCTCTATGAGCATATTACTTATTCATTCGATTTACTTTTGATGTAATGTGTACCAATCAATGTTCGAATCATCATACAAGGGTTCAAAGAATTAAATATTGATTCTGCTTATCTTTCATTGCAGCTGCGAACCTTTTTGATTCGCAATGGTTTGTCAATTCTTTTTAAAGAAGGTACAGCTGCTTACAAGACCTATTACGAGAGGTGAGGTTCTCAGGTTATCTTACATTTTACATCTTAAAATGAGTATATTTTAGTCACTAGTCACCATTATTTATCACACATATATTAAGATGTTACATAAGTTTTTTTTTTTGGTTGGAAAAGATGTTACTTAAGTGGAGACATGAGCAATATGGTGTTATAAACTAGTGTGGTTGTTATTTATTGCAGTGAAAGAGACCCCATAGTGCTTTTCTTATTCTTTAGCATGCTAGTACCACAAAATCTTGTTTTTTTTTAACCATTTATACTTTGCGTCTGTCATTACAGGCAAATGAAAATATGGAATACTTCAGAACCAAAGAAGAGGGAACTCAGAAAGATGCTTGATGAATGGTGATTTGTGTAACATTACTCTGTTATTTTCTTTGCTTTTATGACTTTTGTGATTATCTCTTACCTGGTAGAATTTTGTTCCTTCATGCTCAGGGCTGTGTACATACGAAGGAAATGTGGAAACAAACCACTTTCATCATCAGTTTACCTCAGTGAGGCTGAGCCTTTTCTTGAACAGTATGCGAAACGCAGTCCACAGAATCAGTCTCTCATTGGATCTGCTGGAAACTTTGTAAGGGCTGAAGATTTCCTGGCCATTGTTGAGGGAGGAAGAGATGAAGAGGGTGATCTTGAGAGGGAGCAGGAGGTTGCACCATCAAGCCCCAGTGCCTCAGGCAGGGACACTATCCCAAAGGCTGAGGGTCTGATTGTATTCTTTCCTGGTAAGATTGTGTCAAATCGATGGAGTTTTGAAACGTTGGAAAGTTCTCATGAATACAATAAACAACGTTTGAAAGATATCTCTTTGTATATACTTATACATCGTGCAACTTTTTTGTTACTTGGGAAGCATCACCTTCCATGTTTAACATTTCGATATTTCTCTTTTTATACTTCTTTGGCAGTGTGCCCTTGTGCATCTGAATATCTCTTGATGGGTATTTGCTTTTATATTTACATATGGGTGTTTATAATTGTTTTGACGGTGAATATGATTGGGTTCTTATATTTTTATTTATCCCCTCTTTGGTAATGGTTTATGGAAGTCAAAGCATATGTTCTATGCATTTCCTGATGTTTCTTTCTTGGCTTGGAATTTTCAGGACTACCTGGTTCTGCTAAGTCAGCACTATGCACGGAACTACTTCAAGACCCGGGAAGAATGGGAGACGATCGACCAATTCAAAGCCTGATGGGTGATCTTATCAAAGGTAATTTTGTTGTTGAAGCACCTAGAAATACAACTCTTGTGAACACTTCAAATTACATTTTTTTTGACATTGAAGGTTTCTAGCAGTTTCTTCATCATGCACTCATAATATAGTTATCCTTCATCATCCTTCAACTAGCAGTTTCTATGTAAGAATCTGATCAGGTCATCCCAGCATATCATAGGTATCCTTGACCATGGTGCTGAATTTATGCAAGGATTTACCTACGCAATATGATTGAGCTTCATGACAAGTTCAAAATATCTAGAATTTGAGGACTTCTTCTCATTTATTGTTCATATCTTTTATTACCTCCAATGAGAGTACTGTCCCACTTTGGGAAAGTGAAGCCTTGCACGGTAGTTCAAAAGATATTAGTACTCTCCACCCATCGCCAATTGGTTGAAGTTGGACTCAAACTCTATAAACATTGGAAGTTAAAAATACGTAGAATTTAATAGGCTTCTTCTCATTATACTGTTCGTACCTTCATATCGAAACTTCTGTATCCTTTAGAATAGATCCACTGGTATCCTATTGTCAAGATGCTTAATGAATTAGTACGTCAAAAGATTATTGGAGGACTTATTAACATTAAGATTACTTGTTTATTGTCTTTTAACAGGAAAATATTGGCAGAAGGTTGCTGAAGAGCGCAAGAAAAAACCATATTCCATAATTCTTGCAGACAAGAATGCCCCAAATGAAGAAGTATGGAGACAGGTAATTTTCTTTTGGGGTTCACTTCAAGAATTGTTCTACAATCTATTCATGAGAATCCAGAAGTAGTGTTCCATGCAGACATGTGGAGGTTGATCTGTAGCCCAAGGTCCTAACCAAAACTTGTATTGCTTAGTGCTAGTCACTTTCTGTAGGACTAATAAGCAAAAGTGGATTGCTTTTAACCCTAAATGGGGTGATGTTCCGGAAACAAACAATAAAACCCAAAATGGTAACCCAAAGGAACTAAAAAGGACGTCTTGTCCAACAAGATTGGTGGCTACTCGATTGAAAGGAATCATGAAAAAGATCTCCAGATATGAATGATTTTTTTTTTTTGATTAAACTGTTTATTAATTATCAAACCGAAACTGATTTGTGTTTATCATAATTACACTGACCATTTTTCTCGTCTCTCTTTTGCAGATTGAACACATGTGCAACAGCACTAGGGCCTCCGCGGTTCCAGTTGTGCCTGATTCTGAAGGTTCTGTTGCTCCTGAGGCTGTTATTTGTTGTGTTCCAGTTCACTTTGTAGTGTAGTTAAAGATGAATGGAATGTACTTCAGTTAGGAAATGATTTTGAGGCCATTGGATATGCTTTTACATTGTGATCTTTTAATTTGCAGGAACCGATTCAAATCCATTTTCTCTTGATGCATTAGCAATTTTCATGTCTCGGGTGCTTCAACGTGCTAATCATCCAGTATGCATTTTATTCTCTCATGTTCTTTTTCTTCATAGATCTGAGACACCTATATTTATTTGCATACTTACATGCTCTCAATTTCTGAAGGGAAACCTTGACAAGGAATCTCCAAATGCTGGCTATGTGCTGCTAATGTTCTATCACCTTTACGAGGGCAAGGCATGAATTATGTACTCTGGTCCATGCTCTATAGATGCACCTAACTTCATTACATTTTTCTGAATTTGGTTTTGTCTAAATTTTTCAGAGTCGCCAAGAGTTTGATGGGGAATTAGTTGAGCGTTTTGGCTCGCTTGTCAAGATGCCATTGCTGAAGTCTGATAGGTAGTTTCTGTTTCCTGAGACCTCTCGTATTGGTTGTTTTCTGTAATGCTCTCTATATTTGATAATGATAAATATGAGGGGAAAACTGTTCCTAGTAATTTAAATCACGCACCTGGTAAGGCAGGGGTTTTTGCTAGGAGCACTCTTTGCATGCCTTAATTTATGGGTGGGTGGATTGTAGTTACTATATGGATTAAGGGGAATTCTCAGTTCATATGAGTAATCTCCAACGAAAAGTATTTAGTGACACACACACACACACACACACACACACACACACAGACATACATACATACATACATATATATATATATGTGTGTGTGTGTGTGTGTGTGTGTTTCCTTTTATTTTACTAATGAATTAAAAGATTGTGTTCACTGCCTTACTGCCTTATAAGACTCTCTAAAAAACTGTGTTATGGATAGAGGAAAAGATAATCCAATTGGTTTGTGTGGTTGATTCCATAACATATGAAAAGCATAGGATGAGGTATATTATTTGTTTGTATGAAGCTTGTATCTTTCCTCTCTAGCCATGCAGTTACATTAACTTTATGGGGATTTGCTTGTGTAAAATGTGAAGTCTTATATTTGTCCCCTCTTGCATTGCAATACACTAATGTCATGGGATTGATTTTGCATACCCAGGAATCCATTACCTGATCCCGTGAAGAATATTCTGGAGGAGGGAATAAATCTATACAAGCTTCACACCGCCAAACATGGAAGGTTAGCCATTTGGACACTATAACATGAAATGAGATTTGACCACCACAGGAGATACTTATTTCATTTTCATTTTCGTTTCCTACTTAATTGGAATTTCAATGAAGTTAAGCTTTTAGCTGTTTGCGTACAGCGTACCATAGTAGCATGACAATTAGAATTTTCCTAGTCGTTTAACCTCTGTTGTGTCCGCTTTCATGTGGGAAAACCTTACCTCCTTGCATGTAAACCTGTACTCAGATTGGAGTCGACCAAGGGAACCTATGCAAAGGAGTGGACTAAATGGGAGAAACAGTTGCGGGATATTTTATTTGGCAATGCTGAGTATCTTAATTCTGTTCAGGTCGGTATCATTTTTGCATATTCTTTTTTACCTTATGAGCCGTTGATTCCACATTTTCCAGTTCTATTATATTAAACGTCTCTGGAATTTACTTGATGAACCATTAACTTTTCAGATCACTAAATAAACTTTTTGTGCAATCTTAATGACCTCAGGTTCCTTTTGAGTCTGCTGTAAAGGAAGTGTCAGAACAGCTGAAAAAAGTCGCAAAGGTGAGTACAAAACTCCAGATACTGGGAAGAGGAAGTTCGGCGCCATTGTCTTTGCTGCCGTTAGCCTGCCTGTTATGGAAGTCAGTGGTCTGCTTGATAGCGTAAGTTAATGTTCGCTTTCAATTATTTTTCGTAGTCGCATCACTTATGCAGTGAGATTATGATGACATATCTGTCTCGTGTTTCTTTTCTTTTTTTCTTTTCGTGCAGTTGGCTGCAAAACATAGTGAAGCCGAAGCTTTCCTCAAAGACAAGCATTTGGATAAACTTGACAAGGCTCATGTTACTCTTGCACACAAGAGAAGTCATGGTGTTACTGCCGTGGCTAGTTACGGAACCTTCCTTCACAAAACGGTCCCTGTGGATATAACTAAGCTTTTCTTCTCGGATAAAATGGCTGCATTTGAAGCCAGCCTTGGGTCTGTCGAAGGCGAAAGAGTAGTGTCTAAAAATGAGTGGCCGCATGTCACCTTATGGACTGCAGAAGGGGTTCCGGCCAAGGATGCCAACAACTTACCCCAATTGCATTCAGAGGGGAAAGCTACCTGCATTGCAATTGACCCACCTGCCACCATTGATGGCACGCTGGAATTTTACTGAGGTTTGATCGGTCCGGGCCAGATTGAGCTCGGCATATGATTAGAATGAAATTTCATTTGACGATGCGGGTGTTCAATGAAGAGAGAACCTAACTGCTTAAGTGAAGGAGAATATTTTGTATGCCATGAGGAAAAGGAAATTTTGTTGAGTTGATTTCTTTTCAGAGGTTTTGTATACATAAGGCAATTAAAATTTTGAAGTCTCTCTGTGTAGCTTCATCAGCTTTTACCAATTGAGGGGTGTTTAGCCGCGGTTGCATCGCTCGTATCTGTTTACATGATTCGGGATGATTGCGCAGCTGCAACTCCAAGTTTTATGACCCTAGAAATGTTGACACTGCATTTTTGACATTCTTCCCCTTGGCGGCGCGTCGGCTACTGTAGTAACTGTAATTACAATCAAACTCTCGGGAACATCCAAGCAAAGTAAAATGCAGACATTCTTCCCCTCGGTGGCTCTTCGGCTACCGTAGTAACTGTAATTACAATCAAACTCTGGAGAACCATCTAAGCAAAGTAAAATGCAGGAAACAATTTCGATGTTTATTTACGCCCCTTGATTCTTCTTCGACTTGTTCAAAAACCGAAGGGTGTGCGAAAATTGCTTTCAAAAAATTGATTTTTATTCAAAGAAAAGCAATTGGGATGGCTCATTAGCCTAAACGAAACAAACAAACAAATGGAAGGCTTCAATTGATTTACAGCATGCTAACTTCACATGCTGAGTGTCTAATTTCATAGCAAGTCAGTGTTGTAGGCCTGAACCGACTTTCTGTCATTCCAAAGTACTCGCTTGTTCTGCAGCCAGTGTAGGCACGATGGCCATAGCCTCACCGTCAATGGCGGTAGCACCATTCTTGAAGCATGCCGTCTTGAATTTCACTCTGAACCAAACAGTCAAAAACCAATTAAGTCGGTCTCTGTTTAAGTTATACAAACTGTAGAAGAATTGCTTTGGCAAGGAATGAGGTGGCTTACAGATATCTGTTCTTCTGTTCTCTTATGTTAGTTGCTTGTACCTCACCAACTATCTCTTCTCCAATATAGACAGGCAACCTGAAATGCAAGCTTTGGGAAACATATATAGCCCCGGGCTGGAAACACCACAACAAAATCAAGGAATTAGAACTTGGGTTCTCGACAAATGCAACCGAAAAAGGAAAATGTTCAGCGATAAATGTAAGAAATGTTCCATGCCGATGAGCCAATGACAGAATTTTTAGGAACCATGGGATTACTGTATATTACAAATGAACCATATCAACAAGTCATGAGAAGGGAGGATAAAATTATGGAGCATCATACTTACAAAATGAGAAGATATGATCTTGGGGAACAGGGCAGCAACAAGCATCCCGTGAACCAGTTGATCTTCAAATCCAGCATTTCGAGCAGCCTCGGAATCTAAATGCAGAGGGTTAGAGTCATGACTCACTTTTGAGTACTCCAAAACATCTTCATTGGTGAATACCCTATTTTGCTTCAATGTATCTCCACTTCTAAGAAAACCAGCTGCTGCTGATGAAAAACCTCTCAAAGAAGGTAGGTTGACTGAGAGTAAGTTCCGGCCAAGCATAACTGTAACCGTTTCTAAACGCTCTCCAACAGAGTAGTTGCCCGTCAAAACTACGTTGATTCTACGCCTTACCAGAATAGCATTGTCCTCCTCTCCATAGAAAATACAGGTTTGAATGTCTTCTAATCCACTTGCAATATATGCTCACACCTGCACCATCAATCTGCAACTCACACAATGTTTCAGGATCATGGGCAATTTTGTTTTTGCATAAATTGCTAGGGTGAAGTGGAAGCCTTCATTTTCTGCGCACATTATTCCGAAGTTGCTCGTACGAGGCATTGTAACAAACACTTGGTGGGCATAAATTTCAACAAAACAAAGATATATCAAATTGTTTGTTAGGATCCACCCGCGAGATTCCAATTCGACACAGATATGATTTATGCTAGTCGAAAACTAAATTGTTGCAAAAATAAAATCTCCATGCAGAATATTACCTGATTAGCTGCAATAATAATAATGCATCGCTGCGGTCTTTTTTTTTTGGAGTACAGAGAGCGAGAGAATTAAAGTAAACGAAACCAGCAAATGGGCTGCTACTTGCATTTATTTATTTATTTTTTTTATAATTTTTTGTTGTCAAAGGAAAAATTCAGTACCAACAAAGCAAACGTGTACAAAGAGAGGCCTAATTACAATTAAACGAAGAACCGAAATATGGACCCCAAAACGAAAAAGCCCAACCCAAAGTTTGAGCGCGTACAAACAGAAAGCCCAAAAACCCTTGGAAATCAGTCGACGCCCGACCATGTACCAACAACTCTTGCAACCACTGGAGATCCAACCAAACAAATCCTACAAATTGGAAATGAAGAAGATTCCATTCTCCTCTACCAAACCACAAAACTCGAATCTGCAGCCGCCAAGGAAAGGAAACCCGTGGAATATACATTCCACAAGTAATGGTGCCTACTAAGGCTGGGCACGAGTCGGGCCGGGCTCAAATTTGAAGGAACCAAACCGTACGCGTATAAAACGTAACGGGATGGACCGGACCGGGTAGAAGGATTTTGAATTTTGAAACCAAACTTAACCCGGCCCGTTACAAACGAGCCGATTCGGGATGAGTCCACAGGTCCAATTACTTCTTCTTTTTTCGGTTTGGGCATAATGAGATAAAGCAGGAGATTGAAATTTTCAGAAGTTCCTCTATTTTCATCTTTCTTGCTGCTCCACACTGAGATTGAATCAGGAGACCGAATCGACGATCTGATAGTCAATAACTAAAAATTGACAACAATCATGAGGCTTTTTTCGATTCGAATTCAGCTCCACATTCTTATACGAACAATCGGCACGTTAAATTCATAAAGATTTGATATCAGAAAGATGATTACTGATCACCACACATGCAATTCTTGAAAGTTACTGAAATCAAAACAACAACTTCCACTCAATTTCTCAGCAACAGAAAGATCAAGCCAAATCAAAACCAACAACTTTCAACTAAATTGCACATAAGAGTCAAAATTTAATTGCTATACAGAACTATCGGTCCAATCGAAAACAATCAGAATTCGAGACCCTACCTCCTCCATTCTCTGAGAACGAAGCCCTCCCCAGGCAACATCGCCGACGAAGGCGGCAAAATCGGATCGTCGGACCTGCCAAACCCTCCATCAAAGCCCTGGCCGTTCGATTCGGCGTAGATCGAGGGAGGAGAGAAGGCCTCCAACGCCGGCTGAGTGGCGAAAGCGTCGTCTGCGGCGGAGCCGTGGAATATTGGGGAATCGGTCGATCGCTGGAGGAGAGTCGGGGGTCGTAGCCCAGGTAACCGTCGTCGTCGAACGGGCGAGTTGACCTGGTAGTCGGGACCGAGTCGTCTTCGGGCTGAGTGAACGAGGTAAAGATTAAGTCAAGTGCGTTGAATCAGAGGAGGTGTGAGCGGAGAAGATGGGGTAGTGGTAGCGCCGATGAAGACCGCCGTAGCTTCAACGAGAGGAGGAGTGAGCGGTGGGAGGTGAGAGTCCATCTTGAGAGAGGATGAATCCCTCTTCAGGGAGAAGGATCGATCCTGGAAAAGTCCAGAGAGGAGGCGAGTGTCAGAGTGGTAGAAATGAACGGTAGAGATTTAATCTCCAAACAATGGACGGTGAAAACGGTCCGGTCCGGTCCGGTTAGGGTAACCGGTTTTTCAGAAATTTAAACTCGCCCCGCCCCGCCAATTACATGTACCCGTCCCGGCCCGTTCCGTTTTGAGTTTACAAAACTTGAACCCGTCCCGTACCCGTCCCGAACTGGCAAGACCCGGCCCGCCCTCCAGTTCCTAGACCAGTTTGCCCACCCCTAGTGCCTACAACAGTGCACAAATGAAAGGTGGTGGTGTGATCACTCGTGCTAGAGCTCTACTATTGGTTATTTACTTTATTTTATTAAAGATTCAAAACTTTATTTATTATTATTTTAAACAAAAATATGAAGAGTCATATTCATTAGAGAAGACATTATAGAGTTTTATAAATAGTGAACTCCTCAAACAGAACAGAGGTTAACATATGTTCAAATGTTTTTCTTCTCTTCCTACTACAGTACTCATATATAATCCTTATTATCTTCCTAGTCATCTTGATCATCAATGGGCAATTGATCACTACGTGGCACCCCGTCTACTTTAATCGTGCTTATGGATTAGATACTCTGTGAGATTCAAGTGTTGTATCTTGGAGTTGTAGATAGCCATTATAACCAGCACGTAGAAAGGCGTCTACGACTTTAGGACAGTGACAGCATGCCTCTCTTGATATCATAGGCCAAATCATTCTTTACCTTTTTCCTTTTTACTGCTTTATTTATTGATATATGTGTTTGATGCATTTGAGTATTATCTAATTGATTGAATTTACATGTGTATTATGATCATAATCATTTATATTATCCAACAACAAAAATCATAAATTGCATCTCTAGTGTCGTGGAAAACCCTATGAATTTGTATGTGTTGTTATTTTGGTTGTGTGATCAATTATCGCAATTTATTAATTTCGTAATTTAACGAAAAGGTGTTTGCATGTATGCATTGATTATCCATAATACGTATCTCTATGGTGTTTCGTGATTGAGTTAGGCAGGTGATGATTAAAACATATTTTGCCTACATTGCTTGATTATCCCATATTATTGAGATAGTGATAAAACTCAAATGTATCTGAGTCTTCTGAGGCCGTCCTTCCTCTTACTGGGAAGAACAAACCTTATTTTTTTTTTTATATTTGGGTAAAATGAAAGAAACTTGTATTACAATATAGACCATGTCTTTTCATACAGATTTTCTATTCATTTTATAGGAATACAGTCTACATAGAAATATTTTAAATTAGGGTTCTTAAAGGTTGAATCAAAATTCAATATTCTTTGCGCTTTCTTGCTTGTGTAATTGTTTTCTTGGTACCTCCGATGACTTAGCATTGTGGTTTAAACGATTGAGATTAGGGGTTTGCATCTAGAATTACTTCGGGAAAAAAAAAAATTTCCTTCTGAACTCGTCACTTTTCTCACCTGGTAAATATCCTTTTTACTGCTTTATGTATTGATATATGTGTTTGATGTATTTGGGTATTATCTAATTAATTGAATTCACATACGTATTATGATCATAATCATTTATGTTATCCAACATCTACACCTTCCTAGAAAGTTGCAAAAAGCGGTGAAAGGAGACAGTTGCAAAGTTGGAAAATTGTGCGATTGAGAGATGTCGGAACCATTGGAGAGAGGACGAAAATGGGTTGAAGAGAATCATGGATGTGGAAAAATAGCAGAGGGTAGAGGAAAATGAAGGTCGGAATCGAGCGGCGCGCTGTTTAGCGCCGGTTTGGATAATTTCATGAATGGTTAAATAATTTCTTACAACCAATATCGCTTTCACAACGTTGGGTTGAAAGATGTAAAAACAATTTTTTTTAAAGGATATGTTGGTTCTTCAATGCATATTTTCAAGTACTCTTTATCGAATGAGGATCCCCTTCGAATCCTCTTCGTGAGGATTCTAAGGATTCTCAAATCGTGTCCATTCATCGTATATCATACGGTCAGAAATAATTTTAAATATTTTATTTTTAATTAAATATGAATAGTACCTGATGAAAAATGACTGCATGATATACGATGAACAGACACGATTTGAGGATCCTCATGATCCTTACAAAGAGGATTTGTCAACTAAAAACTAAGGAAAATACTATTATATTCTTCCATGAATAATTAAAAAAAATAAAATCATAATCTATCATCTAATTTCACAAAATCTATTGACAAAAAAACAATATCAAAATAAAATTATGAGCATTAAAGTAATTTCGCACAAAATTTTTTTTTTTTTCTTTTCTAACCCACATGTCAACAAAACATAGCTATATTTTAAAATCATAAAAAATAAAAAAAAAAACTCCCATATTCTCTCTTTTACATTTCTCTCCAACTTATCTTTCTTCCATGTACTTTTTTTCTTTTAAATTTTTTATGTGTGGGCTTCATCTAGTGCTAGTATATAAGTACTTTAGTATAAGTGCTTTATGCAAAAAACAATCTCAAATGGATCCTTAATGTCGGAGATGTTGAATACTAGAAAATAGACTGCATTGGGAATCTTGGGATGATATTAGAGCCAAACCAAGTTTCACTATGCATCTTGGTTGTTCTCCGATTGGCTAGAGCTCGTAATAGTTGGTATTAGAGTCAGGTAAATATATCGAGTCATTGAGTTGACATCAGCCTAGGAGTGGGTTCAAAAATCGAAAAAAATCGAACCGAACACTATAGTAAGCTGAAAAAAAATTGAATCGAATTCCGTTAGTTCGGTTTCAATTTCAGTGGTTTGGAAATCAAACCAAACAATCCTTAAAACGACACCGTTTTACTTACACCCATCTAAACATTGTTGTTTTATTTTATCCTATGACGTAAACGTTGGGGTTCAGAGTTTTATTTTATCCTATGACGTAAACGTAAACGTTGACGTAAACATTGTTGTTTTATTTTATCCTATAACTTTCAGTACAAAACAACTGAATTTTAGAATATCTGTTTGACGAAACAACAGAAACGATACATTCAATGTACATCCTAAAGCTCAAATCCAGCACAGCAATTACCCCCAAAAAAGAAGCAACTCTAAAAATTTGTGCTTCTTGTACCCTTGTATATAGGATGCTGATTGAAACATAACCAATGCAGGTGCTTTTCTCCAACTTGGTGGACTATTATAGTCTGCTTTTTTATCTTGGCAGTCATGGGAATGTTGACAGGACAGGCATTTCCATCGCTCTTCCTTAGGAGTGCATCTGGCTTCTCGCTCTCCTCGCAAGAACTCGAGTCTGCACTGAATTTGACTTTTGATCCAATCAGTCATGTGCAAACTCATCTTCACCGAGTAATGAATGGTCTCTCTGTAACTTGTATCTGAATCAGAGACGGTCATATCAGTGTCTTTCCAAAAGGTATAGTACCAAGTATTTCAACATGAACAAACGTTTACTTGAACCATAATTGAAGTCAGGGAAGCACGCTGCTTATCTTTTCAAACATTGAATAATTCCACAGGTCTTTTTTTGTTGTTGTCAGCAATGATTCGTGAAATAATATTAAAAGGGGAACTTGCATTTCCACCACATGTTCACCACTTGTAATAAACTATTAATTAAAAGAAGCAAGTTAGCCTCTTTCACCATGTATCCTTTGTCAGATTGTACTGTCTTCCCATCCACTTGCATTAGGAAAACATGCAATTGTTGTTTAAACAAAGCTCTTGGCAAACCTCCACCACCCATACAATAAGGAAAAACAATATAATAATGTCAAACTACCCTCTTGCAGTCAAATATCTTTCCAAGTTAGCCTTCTTGCACATTAATCCACCAAATGCCATATTTTACCCAAATACCCCAAATAAGTGAAATGGTGCACATTTTAGGTGCAAACAGCTACGAAAAGTATAGAAAAGTGTTTTGTACTTTGGCAAGTAAGAAAAAGGTTCCATTCATCTAAAAAAAGGCTGAATTCTAGTTCAAGATGATATCAACTTTATGAAATCCCAAATTGTAACTTGACTATCAAACAGAACTATGATTTTAAAATGCCAAGAGTCGGCTAATTCATTCAGAACAAAACCCCAAATACTACCAAATCGTAACTCTGTTTGAATGCTTACCTCTTCTTCAAGTTTTGCATGGCGAGCAATACACGCTTCCATAGCCTTACTCACTTCTTGCATGCCACAAAGGAAAACAAGCTCCATGTTTCTGTCATACCATTGCTATAATGGACATGTAATGAGAACAGATCTAGGTCAAATATCTTTCGAAATCGTTAAGTTGGATGGACAGAAAACTTACATTAAACCCTCTTGCAAAGTAATAATAGCATTCAGATTACTAAAGTTAATTATTCATAGTTACTACTACACCGGCACATTGCAAATACTATCTCGAAAAAACAACCATATACCATGGTTTCAATGTCGATGATAGTAAAGTACGTGACACTCAACCCTTTCTTCCTACACAGGTGCAACGAGTCAGCCACCCGAGTCATCTTCTGGGCACTCTTCAAACCTCCAGCATCCTCGATATTGGGTTCAGACCAACCTGATAACCTGCTCTTCGGATCCCATTTATCTTCAATCAATTTGACACGAACTTTAGCTCTTTTTACAACCTGCCCAAAAATATAATCAGATTGTAAATGTTCATAGGAAACGTGAAAGGTATGGAAAAGTGCTTTGTACCTTGGGAAGAAAGAAAAAGGTTACATTTCGTCTAACGAAAGCTGAATTCTATTTCAACATGACTACCAAATTGTAACTTCACCACCAAATTGTAACTTGACTACCATAGGAATCGGCTAATTCATGCAGGACAAAACCCCAAACCCCAAATAGTAATCACCTTTTGAATGCTTACCTCTTCTTCAAGTTTTGCATGGCGAGCAACACCAGCTTTCATTGCCTTACTCTCTTTTCGCTTGCCAACAAGGAGAACAAACTCCATTTGTTTTTCACACCATTCCTGTCAGTGACATGTAAGGGGAACAGATCTAGTTCAAGTATCTTTTGAAATCATTAAGTTGGACGGACAGAAAACTTAAACTAAAACCTCTCACAAAGTAATAATAGCATTCAGATTACAGAAGTTGTTTATTCATAGTTACAACTACACTGTGCCCATTACAAATACTACCTGGAATTGACGACCATATGTGGAAATTGGAAGCATTTGTGAACACACACCGGAGAAATGGGGATACTCAATCTGATTCCGCCTCATTTTCACTTTTCCAACTGAAAATTATTCAAATTTCAAATTTCTAAATCAAATATTTTGCTTTACACTCATACACCATTGATGTGTCATAAAGAAAAGCAGCAAATTTAAATCAATCTATTGCATAGAAAACATTGCAATATCGTCGCTATACAATTCAAAAATCAAACTCAAACAATCAATGTAACCATCCAAATCCATTACCATATCATTAACAACCAAACCAAACAACAAAGTTTCAAAATTTACAAACATACAGCGAAACCAATTTTGCAAAAACCTCAAAAAAAGAATCCGAAAGCCAATAAATTCCATACACTGCCAGTAATGTCGGTGACAAGCAAGCCCTTCTTCCTTTACCGGCGCAAAAACGATTCAGCCACCTGAGTCTTCTTCTGAGCACTCTTCAAACCACCCGAATCCTCAAAATTGGGTTCGGAGCAACCCGAAAGCCTCCTCTTTGCATAGCCCTTCTCCCAATAATGAGATAAAATGTTGTAATGTAAATTATCTAAAACACCAAGTCAAGAGAGGATAAAAATTATAAAGCATCAGACTTACAAAATGAGAAGATACGATATTTGGGACCGGAGAAGTAACAAGGATCCTGTGTACCAGTCGATCTTCAAATCCAGCATTTCGAGCAGACTCAGAATTCAAATGCAGATGATTATAGTCATGTCTCACTTTTGAGTACCCTATGACATCTTCATTCGTGAATACTCTAGCTTGCTTTAATGTATCTCCAGTTCCAAGAAAACTAGCTGGTGCTGACAAAAAACCTCTCAAATAAGGTAGGTTGACTGAGAGTAAGTTCCGGCTGAGCATTATTGTAAAGGGTTTATAAACGCTGTCCGAAAGAGTAGCACCCCAACAAAGTTATGTTCATTTTTGCCTTTACCAGGTAAGTGTTGTCCTCTCAATGGAAAATGCAGGTCTTGGCATACTAATCTAGTGTATGCGTACACTTGCACCATCAAAGTACACCTTCAAAACTTCAATTCACGTAATGTTTCAGGAATCAGGATCATTGGTGTCATAACCAATCAAATGTCAAGTGTATATTATATAACAATTTGCACAGTTTTATTTCAAATGGAAAAACTCAACGACAAACACAATATATTAGAACATAAACACTTAATGAGGTTATATATAAAATCACAAATCACTGACTTGTTTCTTGAAGATAGAGGCTTACAGAAGCAATCTCCTAAGACAGAAATTCGTCCCTACACCAGTGCAGCAGTCCTTGGACGTCTATCTTGCAGGATACAACTATCTAATCCAAGTTCTTGCACTCGAACTCGGATTCTTGGCGAATTAGTTGTGGTGTTTCTCTGTAAACTGTGAAGAATTTGATGGAAGATGTATTTTCTTGTTTCTGATCCGACAGCCATATATAATGGCATAAACGAGCAGTTGAAACTGTTCATAAATGAGCAGTTGAAACCGTTCATAAACGAGCAGTTGAAACCGTTCATAAATGATCGGTTTTATCATTTCAGAAAAAAAAAAAATGAATGAAAAGATCAAAAACATAAAAATGATACTTGGGTTTTTCGTCCATCCGAGCCCCAAGGCCCAAGGCCCATCTTTGACATTTAATATATGCACCCAAACCCTTCAAGTCTAAGGCCCAAGGTCCATGGCTTTGGCCCAAATCAATTCAAACTATAAGTGAGTCCATTCACTTATAAAGGTGATGTTCAAGGAGTGTTTGGGCGATGTGGGACTCCAAGTCCCACATAAAACACAAGTTCCAACAATACCCCACATTTTCTATTCAAACTTTAGCAATACCCCACATTTGAATTGAAAATAAGATACTAGCTACATTAGTAATGTACTTCCAGATAACTTAGATATGATACGCATCAGGATAGGTGTCTTTTGAACTTAAACCTTCTCTAGTGAGTACTTATCGGTTTTACCTAATGAAGCAGTGAATTTACTATCTTGAACTGATCATTCTTTGTAGTAAAATCGAAACAATAAGTATCACACACATCACATCTGAACACACGTCAATTCATACGGTTGAGTTCATTTTGGTCCTGAACATATCCTGATTTCATGAGACCTTTAGAGAATTGTAGCCATACCAATTCTCAAAGATGCGACCCCACATCAATCTCATATAGGTAATGCTAATAAAGAATATCCTGTTCTATTCATCTTAATCATAAGATATTAGCATTATTAAGAATAGTTATTCACCCTTTTCGTCTTACAGGCAACACACAGATTTCCATCATAAGAATGAGTAAAGATATTGTGTTGTTTACTTTGAGTTTTCCTCAACTAGTTTGCCTATTGAACCTAGACCATGGGATCTCCAATTAGCTAGGTTAGGTTTCCGTCAAGTTATAACTCATTGAGTTGGCTTTAAACCCATTCCCCTCGATGTAAATGTCACTTGATCCTTGGATAGGCCTTTTGTCAAAGGATCGGCAATATTCTCCTTAGATTTAATATAATCAATGAAAATAGTTCCATTCTTGAGTAGTTGTCTAATGGTTTTATGTCGTCGCCTTATATGTCTCGACTTCCCATTATATTCAGCATTTTTGGCTCGACCTTGTGCAGCCATGCTGTCACAATGTATACATATTGCAGTCACAGGCTTGGGCCAGAATGGAATATCTTCCAGAAAATGTTTAAGCCATTCAGCTTCATCAGCAGCTGTATCTAAGGCTATAAACTCTAATTCCATTGTCGAACGTGCTATACATGTTTGCTTGGATGATTTCCATGACACAGCTGCTCCACCAAGTGTAAATACATATCCACTTGTGGATTTACTGTCTGTGCTCCCTGAAATCCAATTTGCATCACTATATCCTTCTAATACTGGGGGATATTGAGTGTAATGCAAACCATAGTTTATTGTATGCTTTAAGTATCTTAATACCCTTATTAAAGCATTCCAATGATCTATTCCAGGATTACTTGAATACCTACTTAGTCGGCTTATTGAATAAGCAAGATCAGGTCTTGTACAATTCATAATGTACATTAAGCAACCTATAACTTGGGTATACTCCAATTGAGATACGCTCTCTTCTTCGTTTTTAGTAAGTTTATGAATGGGATCAAAAGGAGTTACTGCAGGTTTACAATCATAATGTCCAAACCTTTTTAGAACCTTTTCCACATAATGTGATTGAGTTAGGACATATCCATCTGAATTCCTTAGAATTCGAACTCCAAGAATCACATCAGCTAATCCCATATCTTTCATGTCAAAACTAGAATTTAGCATTTTCTTTGTGGAGTTAATCACATCTTTGTTTGTTCCCATTATAAGCATGTCATCAACATATAGACATACAATAACACAAGCATTTTTCGTTTTCTTAACATAAATGCATTTATCACTTTCATTGATTACAAATCCATTCGTAATCATATTATGATCGAATTTTTCATGCCATTGCTTAGGCGCTTGTTTGAGTCTATATAAAGACTTAATCAACTTACAAACTTTCTTTTCTTGACCTTTGACAATGAAACCTTCAGGTTGATCCATATATATTTCTTCATCTAATTCACCATTTAGAAATGCAGTCTTGACATCCATTTGATGTATCTCAAGATTGTACACAGACGCTATAGCTATTAATAACCTTATAGATGTTATTCTAGCTACTGGTGAATAAGTGTCAAAGTAGTCAAGTCCTTCTTTTTGACGATACCCTTTGGCAACTAAACGAGCCTTATACTTGTCTATGGTACCATCCGGTCTTAATTTCCTCTTGAAAATCCATTTGTGTCCTATTGGTTTATTTCCAGGAGGCAAATTAACCAATTCCCATGTATTATTTTGCATGATGGATTCTATTTCACTTTGAATAGCTTCTTTCCAATAAGGTGCTTCAGACGATTCTAATGCAGCCTTATAAGTTTGAGGCTCTTCTTCGGTCACAAAAGTGAGGAAATCAGGACCAAAATCCTTTGCAATTTTTGCTCTTTTACTCTTTCGTGGTTCCAAATCTTGGATTTGAACTCTCGAAGTTGAGGCATGATTATTGTCATCATTTCTTGTAGTAACCTCATGTTCTCTTTTGTTCAAAACATATGACCTATCTTTATAAGGAAAAATTTCCTCAAAGAACTCAACTTCTGCAGATTCAAGTATAGTATTTATATGAATGTCTGCAATTTCAGATTTATGAACCAAAAATCTATATGCCGAACTATTATTGGCATGACCAATAAATATACAGTCCACTGTTTTTGGTCCAAGTTTTTGTCTCTTCGGAAGAGGCACTTGAACTTTTGCAAGACAACCCCACACTTTCAAGGTTTTATATGTAGGTAACCTACCTTTCCAGATTTCATAAGGAGATTGATTAGTCTTCTTATGTGGAATTCGGTTCAAAATCGTATTTGCAGCAAGGAGTGCCTCACCCCATAAAGTATGTGGTGCACCAGAACTGTTCAACATGGAATTAATCATATCCTTCAATGTACGATTTTTCCGTTCAGCCACTCCATTTTGTTGAGGAGTATATGGTGCTGTTGTTTGATGTATTATTCCATGTGTTGAACAAAATTCTGCAAAGTCATTAGATTCGTATTCACCACCTATATCCGATCTTAAGACCTTTATTCTTTTGTCTAGTGGATTTTACCACTGATTTATATGAGTGTCTTGCATATTTAGATTCTGTGCATATCTCACATTTAGATACTTTGTTCATGGAACATTTTGGCAGTAGGCCTAAGTTAACCATTCTTTGAAGAGAACGAAAATTAACATGACCTAATCTTGCATGCCATAATGTAGAGGACTCAATCAAGTAAGCAGAAGAAGCACTTGGCTTGTTATTATTCATAGCATTAACAGAAAGTACATTCATTTTGAAGAGCCCCTCAACCAGGTAACCCTTTCCCACATACATCCCACCTTTGGTGATTACAAACTTGTCAGATTCAAACACAATTTTGAAACCTTTGTTACTCAGAAGTGATCCAGAAATCAGTTTCTTACGAATATCTGGAACATGCAGAACATTGGTAAGTGAAAGCTCTTTTCCGGAAGTGAGTTTGAGCGTCACTTTTCCCTTCCCTGCAACGGCAGACGCAGTTGCATTTCCCATGTACAGATTTTCTCCACCATCAACAGATTGGTAAGTAACAAATAAATTTCGATCAGCACACACATGCCTTGTTGCTCCTGTATCAACAAACCAGTCATTTGAATTAGTCAATAAATTGACTTCAGAGACAACAGCAACAAACGTGTCTTCTACAACATTTGCTTGATTGGAACTTCCAGAATTCTGATCCTTCTTGTGGCGGCAGTCCTTTGCCCTATGACCTGTCTTTCCACAAACCCAGCAACCTCCTTTGATTTTCTTGAAGGTTTTCCCTTTCACAGCAGTCATTGCTTTCTTTGCAGCATCCTTGCCTTTGTTTTTCTGATGGTGCCTTGCCTTGTGCGAGTCACCTCCTTCCACAACATTGGCTTTTGCCTCCAACGATGAGACATCATACTTCTCATTTTTGCGATGATCCTCCTCCACACGCAGTTTGAGAATCAACTGATCCATGCTCATGTCTTCAGTTAGATGCTTCAGATAAATCTTGAAGTCCTTCCAATTCGAAGGCAGTTTCTCTATGATAGAGCCAACCACAAAACCTTCTTTCAGACCAAGGTTTTCTTCATCTAACTCATGAACAATCACTTGGAGTTCTTCAACTTGCTTGACAACAGACTTGGTGTCACTCATCTTGTAATTCAGAAATTTTCCAATTACAAACTTCTTGGAACTTGCCACTTCAGACTTGTACTTCTTATCCAGAGACTCCCACAGTTCTTTCGCTGTCTTATATGATGAATAAACATCATACAGAGAGTCATCTAGAGCATTCAAAATGTAGTTCCTGCATAGAAATTCACTGTGAGTCCAGGCTTCTATAGCCTGCAGAATTTCGGCAGGAATATCTCCCTCTTCTGGTGCTTTGGGGGACTCAGAAGTAATCACATGACTCAAGTTCAGAGTTGTTAAGTAAAACAACATCTTCTGTTGCCAACGTTTGAAATCAACTCCCTTGAACTTCTCAGGTTTCTCAACGTGTTGCTTGACGACACCAACATTTGATTGATCCATGAGAAGTTTCTGTCTTAGATTGTTATAACCAATCAAATGTCAAGTGTATATTATATAACAATTTGCACAGTTTTATTTCAAATGGAAAAACTCAACGACAAACACAATATATTAGAACATAAACACTTAATGAGGTTATATATAAAATCACAAATCACTGACTTGTTTCTTGAAGATAGAGGCTTGCAGAAGCAATCTCCTAAGACAGAAATTCGTCCCTACACCAGTGCAGCAGTCCTTGGACGTCTATCTTGCAGGATACAACTATCTAATCCAAGTTCTTGCACTCGAACTCGGATTCTTGGCGAATTAGTTGTGGTGTTTCTCTGTAAACTGTGAAGAATTTGATGGAAGATGTATTTTCTTGTTTCTGATCCGACAGCCATATATAATGGCATAAACGAGCAGTTGAAACTGTTCATAAATGAGCAGTTGAAACCGTTCATAAATGATCGGTTTTATCATTTCAGAAAAAAAAACTAAATGAAAAGATCAAAAACGTAAAAATGATACTTGGTTTTTCGTCCATCCGAGCCCAAGAGCATAAACGAGCAGTTGAAACCGTTCATAAATGATCGGTTTTATCATTTCAGAAAAAAAAAAAACTGAATGAAAAGATCAAAAACGTAAAAATGATACTTGGGTTTTTTGTCCATTCGAGCCCCAAGGCCCATCTTTGACATTTAATATATGCACCCAAACCCTCCAAGTCTAAGGCCCAAGATCCATGGCTTTGGCCCAAATCAATTAAAACTATAAGTGAGTCCATTCACTTATAAAGATGATGTTCAAGGAGTGTTTGGGCGATGTGGGACTCCAAGTCCCACATAAAACACAAGCTCCAACAATGGGCAAATTAGTTTTCGCGTATATTGCTAGACTGAAGTGAAAGCCTTCATTTTTTTCCTCATATCATTCCTAAGTTGCTTGTACTAGGCATTGTCACAAACAATTGGCAGGCATAAATTTCCACAAAACATTAGATACACCCAGTTATCAAATGTTTGCTAGGATGGACCCGCGAGATTCCCAAAGCTACAGATGATTTATTATTCATATGAAAGTCAAAAACATTGCCGGTCGAAAACTAGACAAATGAAAATATAAAATCTCCAAGCAGAACATTAGGCGTTTGGAAAAGCAATATGCATAAAGTTGGGAATGCGAGAACAAAATGCATCACTTGAAACAAATGCATCATGGAGAACTGAAGAGAGGGACTGAGAGAGAAAAGGCCAACGAAACTAGCAAATGGGTTGTAGATGTAATTGTATCCAATTTTTTAAACTCAAAAACAATTTTCAAGTTTTAGATCTTAAAAACTTGTTTGGTATGACTATTTTTAAAAACTGAACTCAAGACTTAACTCTAGTATATTCTTTAAAACTATAAAAAAGTGAGTTTTTAGAATTTTTAAACTTAAACTCGCTTTTTTTTTTCCACCTCCCCTCTCACTCCAAATCTCTGTCTTTTCTTCTTTCTCTCTCCCTTTTTTTGTTTAACTTTTTCATCTTTTCTCCGATCTGCTCTCTTCATTCTTCTTTCTCTCACTCTTCTTCCTCTCTATCTCGTCCGATCCTTTCTCTTCTTTCTCTTTTCTTCAATCATCTCTTACTTTCTTTCCTCCTCTTTGTCTAGTTTAAGTCGTAAAATTTAAAATTTTTAAATCGCAAACCAATCAAGTTTTTGAGTTTTCAAGAAAATTTTTAAGAAATGATAAAAATTTTCAAATAGGATACCAAACAGGCTCTAAGCATTTTACACTTTTTCTTTGTCAGAGGCCTCTTCAGCAACAGAATGTGAAATATCCTTACTATTCACCGGAAAGATGTAAATAAAAATATATATTCACATTCTTTTCTATCTTTAGGGTAATCTCCGTAAGTTAAAGAGAGAAAAATAAATGAAACCACATATTTTTATCTCTTTAGAGATGCAAAGTGAGACGTAAAAACATTTCATATTTATATCTCATTCTCGAGATGCTCTTAGGGCCCGTTTCGGGTACCTTTTAAAATAGAAATAAGTAATTTTTTACAATCAAAAGCGTTTTTAGCAACGTTTCGTTTAAAGACTTATAAATGCTTTTAACATGTTTTTAAAAAAACCAAATGATGGTTCTTCAATACGCATTTCAAAGTGTTTTTCTATAAAATTGCTTACATAAACTTTTAGTAAAAATTTCAGAATGTTAATAAAAACTTTGTAGTTTAAGTGCTTCTTGCAAAAGAAATTCCAAACGAATTCATAATGTTAAGACTCAAAAATTGCAAGTTGGAAAAATAGCCAGCATTGGGAATCTTGGGATGGTATATGAGGCTATGAGCATCGTATTAGAGCCGCGTTCCACTATGCAACATTGCAACTTGGTTGGTTTCCTGTGGGCAAGACCTCGTATTAATTGTATTAGAGCCAGGTGATAGCATCGAGTCATTGAATTAATACGAGCCCTTGCTGCCCGAAATCTTGCCAAAGGAGAAGGGCTACCGTCGAGACAATATCCCACTAGATACTCCTTATATACCCTTTTTAATTGGGCAACTTCTACATATGGGATTGAATCATTGGGTTAGGATTTGTTTAAAAGTGCTTTTAAAATGTCTGCATGCGCTTTTGATGAAAATGTTTTTGGAATCACTACTTAGTAAAAACGCAAGTAAATCCTTAAAAATCACTTGAAGTGTTTTATGGGAGAAGCACATAACTAGTGTTTTTTCCAAGAGGCACTTCAAGTGCTTTTGGAACCCAAAAACATTTTCTCTTTAAGCGTTTTCAGTCATTTTAAAGCACTTCCAAATAAGCACTTAGTGTTGATGGTAACTTTACTCTCAAGTTCTCATCCCACATAAGTTTTACACACTCATTTTTACTTCTTGCACATCTTAATTTTCGACTGTCTGGTCAAATAAATTAAAAAGACCAATAACTAAAAATTAACTAGAACGCATGGAAAATAAAAATAAGTGTGCGAATAGGCACTATACTTTTTAAAATTTTGAGTCAAAAGTTATATTTGCCTGCAAACTTGATCAATCTCTCTCATGCATCACTAATGTTAGAGTCATATATGACTTTGGAGTTATATAGGTCGAAAGTATTATAGAGTCGCAGGTGCATCCACCATAATTGATGATGCAAAAATTATATGTGACTCGATCCCTTTTTAAAACGTAAATTAAAAGTTAAAAGTTAAATTTAACTTTGTATGCACTGTGAATGACATAAATTGCATCATATTTATAGATCTCTAATACACTATGTTGATGTACAAAATCGGGTCGATCACGTAAATTCGACTGTAAATCATACATACACATAAGAACACAATGATATATCGTGGTTCACACCAACTTAGGATTATATCCACACTGATGTTAATTCGATTTCACTATGTAAATGACTAATGAGGGTTACATCGTACACAGAGGCTAGAAAGGCCATTTTTGTCATCCATCTAATTAGTAAAGTCCAGATACTGAGATTCAATATATGGTATAACACACTGAAATGTTAAAAAGTAAAATATACTATTCTAAAGACAAATACAAAGTCATATCCAACTATATATTTGAATCTAAAAGTTAAAAGCGGCTACTCCCCATTTCTTAAGGACAACAAAAATGAACTAAATGTCAAACCGTGATGACCCTATAAATCAATGGAGATTGATATCTACACACAGATAATGAACAAATTACTGAGATTTTAAAATTAGAATAAACTCTACTAAAAGATGATGCAAGAAATGCATTACTCATAACAAAAAATCCGAATTGTTTTTTGAGCTTTCGACAAAGAAAGAATTGTTCTTTTAAGAGAACGAGTAGATAGTAGGTTGGAAGATATTTTTCAATGTGATCAAGATATGTAATTACGTGTTATCGTACAAATGATTTGATATGTATATTAAAAATTTAATAAATTAAAATATAAAAAATTCACTACTTATATAAAAATACGTAATATACTGTTCCAATCATAATGAAAATTTTCTGAAGGTTTGGTTTTCCTTTTTAAAAGGCGTGAACTGATGTCTGTCTATCAGACTCACACTCTCACACTGTGTTCGAATATTTCTCTTTCAAACACCAAGTGTGTCTAAGCCGTAAACCGCCAGCGAACCGCATAGACTCTGCATGGCCGACACGCGTCCCCATGCTCTTTCCCTCCCCTCTATATAAACCCCAGACCTCAGCCTAATCTAATGGCTTCACAGAAAGGTCATCACGGAGAAAGCAAAACAGAAGAAAAAATGGGAAACAAAGTGATGACGTTTGTGGTTCTGATGCTGGTGATGTGCTATGGAGTTTCAGTAGCGCTGGGGTACACTGGTGATCAGGATGAAGGTTGGAGGAGAGGGACGGAGGAGAAAGAAGATTGGAGGGAGGAGCAGGAAAGCGGTGGGAGGAGGAGGCCGGAAGAGGAGGAGGGGCATTATCCGGAATCGGGAGGGGAAGAATCGGAAGAAGGTTGGTTTTTGCTGCCACAGGCAAAGCAGGTAGTGAAAACTGCAGCAGGAGAGATGAGAGTGGTGATGAGTGCGCGCAGTAGGGTTGTTGATAAGCCCATGCATATTGGGTTTATTACAATGGAGCCTAAGTCTCTCTTTATTCCTCAGTATCTCGACTCCAATCTCATCCTCTTTCTCTGCAGAGGTAATCTTATTACTAATCACTAATTAAGAAGATTTTTTTTCTTAATCTGCGAATGCATGCAAGGATGCAAACTGGTTTACTTTGAAAGTAGTGAGTGAATGATACCATTTAGATCGACATCAACACCAATATGCGGTCTTACAAATTTATAGTTTTTTGTTAATCGAAACGATGGTAGATTTCATTGAGAGAGGCGAGGCCAAAACAGCCCCAACCCCATCAAGAAGGATCCATTACAAACAGTCCTCGAGGACAAGATCAGTGATAAAACTAGGAGGGCAGACCAGCCAATCCTGGCGGCTACCGATACTTGGTGTTACGAATCCTTGTTTGATGATATCGACTCTTTGATGAGTTGCTTAATCTTCCTTGCTCTATTTGCTTCTTCTTCTTTTTTTTAAATGAAAATTGGTTTAAATTTCTTAATTAACTGAAGCGGATGCATGCAAATTGTGCAATTGGTACTTCCAAATTGGCGAGTGATCACATCTTTGATGGATTGCATCTACTTAATTTTAACTGGTTTCTTCTTAGTTAGTTGATTTTACTTTTTGAATTTAAATAATTTTCTCAAATGTTTTTCAATTTAATTAGATGTATGCAATTGTATACAATGTGGGACTTCCAAAATGGTGAGTGAGTAGACAATGGAATCCTAATATTTATTTATTTTCTTAATTAATTACATTTACTTTGTTTTTGGTGGATATTTGCATTTAGTCTTGTGACTTGAATTTTATCCATGCAATTGTGGAAAGTAGGACTTCCAATTTTTTTAGTGAACAAAATTCCCTTTGATGGATTGCTTTTGAATCAGATTCTTATGAGTTGTGGAACATGAATTATAATTGTTTGCTTGCAGGAGAAGTAAAGGTGGGATTGATCTACAAAGATGAATTGGGAGAGAGGAGATTGAAGACAGGGGATGTGTATAGAATTCCAGCTGGGTCTCCATTTTACTTGGTGAACGCTGGAGAGGGCCAGAGGGTTCACATCATTTGCAGCATTGACACATCTGAGAGTTTGGGAATGGGTTTGCAGGTACATAACAGATTAGGGTTATGGTAATTAAAATTTCTTAATTAGGGTTATGGTAGTTCAACATTTCAGTATCTATAACTAATTTGGGTGTTTTTGAAAATAATGCAGTCCTTCTTCATTGGTGGAGGAAGCAACCCACAGTCTATTATTGCTGGATTTGACCGTGAAGTACTTGCAAATGCCTTCAATGTAAGCACATCACAGTTTTATGATGATCAATTCCTAAATTTAAAATTGCTACATATTATTGATATATCATCATATTTTCAGTAAGAATCTGTTCATATTGATATCTGAAATTCACAAAATATGTGACACCAACTCTGGAATACATTTTTTAATCAAATTTAAGCACGTGATATGTGAAATGGTGGTTGATTTTTCCAATTTGTCCCTTAAAGGAGACTCGTGCACACTTTCACATGTTTAATTTTGACTAAAAATCTAACGTAAGTTGGTGTGAGAACCAACGTGACACTTTTTGTCGAAACTTACAGATACTAATTTGAATGGATTTTTAATTTGGATACCAAAACTACAATTGGGTGTGCACAATTTTCTCTATGATTAACAATAATCCTAGAAGCCAAATTTGTTTACCAAAAGTTAAAGACACAAATGTGTGTCCAATACTGCAGGTCACATCATCAGAACTAAGAGAGATGTTCACAAGTCAACAACAAGGTCCAATCGTCTTTGTGCCCGAATCTTATTCGCCAAGTGTCTGGTCAAAATTCCTCCAGCTGAAACAGCAAGACAGACTTCAAGAAATGAAGAGTATGTTTGACATCCAACAAGATGATCACCAAGACAAATCAGAAACATGGTCATGGAGGAAGCTCTTGAACTCAGTTTTTGGCGCTGATTCAAACGACAAAAAGTGGAGGCGAGATGACTACGATAAGGGCAAGGGAACAGGAAAATCACCAGACTCTTACAACCTCTACGACAGAAAGCCCGACTTCAGAAACGACTACGGATGGAGCATGCAGCTCGATGATTCTGATTACTCACCGTTGAAACACTCTGACATCGGCGTTTACCTTGTCAACCTTACCGCTGGGTCAATGATGGCACCGCATGTGAATCCGAGAGCGACAGAATACGGCATTGTGTTGAGAGGCTCCGGAACACTACAGATTGTGTTCCCAAATGGGACACAAGCCATGAATGCCAACATAGAAGAAGGTGATGTATTTTGGGTGCCAAGGTACTTCCCATTCTGTCAAATCGCATCAAGAACCGGCCCGCTCGAGTTGTTTGGATTCACAACCTCGGCGCGGAAGAATAGGCCTCAGATTTTGGTTGGTGCGGCGTCTGTTCTTCAGGAGCTCAAAGGACCCGAGCTTGCAGCTGCTTTCGGCGTGACTGAAGACCGGTTGAGGAGGTTTGTTGATGCTCAGCGCGAGGCAGTGATCTTGCCTACGGCACAAGCAGCACCGCCGTACAAGGAGGAGAGGAAGCCGCCGAAGGAGGAGGAGGAAGAGAGGAGGCAGCAGCATCCGGAAGAGGGCGAGAGAAGGGGGGATGCGGGAAGGTTCGATTGAGAGAGAAGGGAGGATGACAGAAAGGATAAGGGAAGGTTTGAGAGGTTCGACAGGGTCCAAGAGGCGATCAAGAGTGTCACGGGTTTCGATTGAGAGACTCTGGGTGGTGAATAAAGAGTGGTTTTGTGGAGTTTCTATTTCTCAGGCTTATTTAGGAGCTTTTAATTTGTTCATGTTTTTATCTTTTGTACTTGTTTTTTTTTTTTTTTTTTGGGATAAAAGTTGTGGTGGTTTTCTGGGACCTTTGCGAAGGAGTTGCTTATTAATGATAACTGTAGGACTTTCTGCTTCTGTTTGGTGCCTATCCTAATTGCTTGCTCTACGATTTTTTTTTTTTTTTGTTGGGCGCTGAAAATCCTTGATGCAGTGTGAAATGGACGAGTGGGATTTTGTAAACGGATAACGGATGAGCCTGGCAGACTTTGCGGTGACATAATTCCAACTCGTACGAACATAGTGAAAGGCACATTGGTACAGATTTGACTTGTGTTATTTGCGGAGTGCAGGGAGAGTGTGATTCATTTGATGCGACATTGTCCTTATGCCATGTTTGCTTGGTTAGCGTCACCTTTGGGGCCTCCGCCGAGAGGTGAAGCTAGTACGTCCATAAAGGACCGGGTCCTGTCTCTAGCCTCTAGCCTTAACCAAGTTGATTTTGATATTGCTCGTATCAGAAGTCGGAAAACGTCTTCTCCCCTCTTCAGAATGAGGCGTTGGTGGCTAGAGAAGGGTTTATTTTGGCGACAGGAAGGGATTTACACAACGTTTTGATAGAAAGCGACTCTCTCCAGATCGTTGCCGCTTTGTAAGAGGCTTCTCCTGATTCGTCCCATGTTGGACCAATTGTAGAAGATGCTAAGGCTTTGGTGGCTGGGATCATCTGGAGCTCTCCCTACCCATGTTCGTCGTCAAGCAAGTGAAGTGGCACTGGCACACCGCTCTTGGTTCGAAGAGCCTCCTGCCTTATTGTAGCCCTGCTCTATGAAGAGTACAATAGGTAGTCTGTTGGTGCAGCCGTATGAATGCTGCTGTCTAGCTGCTAGCTATCTATACTAATGCTGTTCTCATGTATTGTTCCTTTAGTTCAATGAGAAGTCCATCTTTTCAATCAAAAAAGAAAAAGAAAGGGAAGCCCTCGGTGCATTCTCGACGTTCATGGTGTGTTTACCAAAGGGGATTGGAGTGGGAAGAAGCGGAATCGCACTCCTCCTGACACCATGAGCACCACCATCACCTGGGTAATGCTTCGGTAATTACTTCTAAATTTGGGAAGTGTTATTGGCACTCCAAAAATCTCATTCTACACTCCTCACAAGTGTATTCTTCTTTCCAAATATAGAAAGTTTGGAGTGTAGAATGAGATTTTTAGGGTGCCAATAACAATCCCTTAAATTTTGGCCCAATAATATTTTAGCACATATTTTATTGTTTAAAAAATAATACATTTTTTCTGAACTTTAAAAATAAGAAACACGTGACATCTTTTGATTGAGCCAAATCAAAAAATGAGTATATGAAATTTGAGTACCTAAGTATTATTCCCACGATATCACCCTTACATCTTCATGACAATATATTTTCTCACAAAAACTGGTGGAGGTACAGAAAGAATTTATATGAGAGCGTGTGTAGTGGTGGCGCTGAAGGCGGGGAGGTGGTGGATATGGGCATCGATATTTCTTTGCCCTCTCTTTGTTCTTGCTGGGCCCTTTTCTGTGTCATTTAATTCAATCCATTTGTGATAAAAAATAAAAAAATAAAACATATATAAATTACTTTGCACAAAAGCATTTTACCAATCACATTAATTTTCATTTTCATTTATGTGAATTAGTCAACAGTTAGCTTTCAACCTAAAAAAAAAAAAAAAAAAGCCAGGCTTGTGCTGCTAGAGGAATTGATCCTTAAATAACCGCATATTTTGACGGGATTGTACACTTTTATGTCTCTCTATATGAATTATATAGATGAGTATTATTCCTACTATGATTTTAGAAAAATTTAGTAAACAATTTTATTAAGAATTTAATTCTGACTCCATCATATTTCAACTTCTTTTCAATTCAATTCGTCTCACTTTAATTATGGAGTAGTAAACGAGACGCGCTATCTCAGAGTCACGTGCAAGGCATGCTTTTCCTTTTGGCCAAGTGCAAAGCGAAAACGTTAGGTATATGTGTCTGGTACGAAACTGAAGCCGGGAGAGAACTTGACATAGCTTCGTCCGTCAATCTAATTTTCACGGAAAATTGTTATAATTTTTTCAGCAGCGATGAAAGCCGGCTCTGCTTCTCTAGTTTTCATCTCAGTTCTTCTCTTTCTTCTTCCAATTCTAACAACATATACCGAAGCCGAGGTTATAACCCTAACCGCTGACACCTTCTCCGACAAGGTAACAACTACAAAACCCCTTCAAATTCTTCATTGATTTGCATTCAGTTTCACAGATCCAATCTAAATAATTTCAGAGATGCAATTTTTCAATTTCTACACGCAAGCATATATAGTTAGGGTTTTTAAGCCCTAACCAGGTCATAGTTTTCCTTACTCATCAATCCCTGGTGGTCTTATCAATGCTAATCCCTAGTTAGTTTCTCCCTTTTTGTCAATTGTGTTTTGATATCGTATCGGTGACAGAATTAAATGGCGACTGAGTCTGCGAAATCGGACTGGAAGTTGAAGTGAAATTTTTTATGGGTTGAGTTTTATAAGAAATGTATGTTTTTTTTATTAAGTAGGTAGGAGTTTGGAAAGATATGTCATGCTCGCTAATTAGAAATGTATTTTCCTTGATCACCTTGCTGATTGTTTATTTGCGTATGCGTTTTTCGTAGGTGAAGGAGAAGGACACGGCATGGTTTGTGAAATTTTGTGTGCCATGGTGTAAACATTGGTAAGTTACTCACATCTTCCGAGTTTATGATTCAGCGAGATTTGTTGGATTGTTATTCTTACTGGTAATGATAACATTTGGTTTCAGTAAGAACTTGGGTACATTGTGGGAGGACCTTGGGAAGACAATGGAAGGTGAAGACGAAATAGAGGTTGGGGAGGTTGATTGTAGTACGAGTAAACCAGTATGTTCAAAAGTTGACATTCATTCATATCCTACGTTTAAAGTATTCTATGATGGTGAAGAAGTTGCAAAATATCAAGGTGCGATTTGAATTTCGTTTCTGCTATATCAGTTGTGTTTTCATCCATAGTCATCTTTGGGCTGCATAAAATCTTTTCTATTTGATCTACTCAGGCTTACTAATATCACTTATACGATCACATTGTAATCTAAACAAATGCGCTTCCGATTTCTATGAAATTCCTGTTTAAGGGCCTTGTCTAGGAAATAGATTTCAAGTGCAAGCTCCTCGCGGGCTTGGGCACGTATTTACATGATCCACCGTCCCCTAAAGTGCCTGTTAGTAATAACTTCTGAGAATAAGAAATTGTTCATATCTATCTATTTTCTATTCAGATCACTAGCGCTTGCATATTCATTTTCATTCGATACAGATTCATTCGGGAAATCATTATAATTTATTTTGGGAATATAAATTGGCCATCACGTCTGCTATTTTTGTAATATCATTCATCTTCCAACAACTTGTCATCTTAGATGTATGATAACAACACTGGAAATCCATCACAATTAAGAAGTCCTAACATTTGGCTACGTCTGACATTGAAAGAGGTAATATTGCAGCCTTTTTTCTTTTTTGGTGGAGGAGGAATGTGAGATATAAATTGCAAGAATGTTTTGAGTGGTGTTGTCTTTAGTGTGTACCTGTGAAAGATTTGGCTGCTTTGTTTAGTACAGTGGTGATAGAGATAATATTTGGTGACTGATCCTTGGCTTATGTAGTACTAGCCTCTCCACACGCGCGTGAGCGCGTGCGAGATGCATTTTTACATTATACATGCGTGCAAGATGCATTTTTTGCATCACAGGCACTACGCGCCCCAAAGATGTGTTTCTTTAGATATTTTTATATTTCTTAAGTGATTATTTTATAAATTGTGCGTGTGCGCACATCATAACAATAGTATCTACATACTTTTATAGACGCAATCGTAAAACAGTATGAGATTGTTATTTATGCATTCGTCAAACAATATGAGATTTTGGGTGCAAGTTTATACTTGAAGTTGATGAACAATAGTATGTAGATGTAAATAAAAAAATAAAACAAAATAGACGAAATGTCATTGGCTAATATTGAAACCCTAACATGTAGCACCCCTAAAGATGTCTTACATTAGTTGTTTTCATTTTGTTTAGTGAGGTAGTTGGACAATTACAATGAAATAAAAACAACTAACGCAAGACGTTTTAGGTGATGAAGTGCTCGTTCAAAGAGGTTTGTGAAAAATAAATGAAGAAATATAGCAAGGAACCAAATAATAGTGTTAAGGAAACAAAATAAACAATTAATCTATGACATTGAATTTAAGAGTAAGAATTCATATGTATCATCTTTTCCTTCCAGCACTACAAAATACAACTTACTCTAATACATTAATAAATGTGTTATTAAATATTGCTAAAGATGAGTAAGTAGGGTTTGTGCTTCATAGTATAATCTACTATTTTTCTTGACAATATCTTACAATTCCCTTTCCACCTACACACGTAATATTGGCTGGCCTTGTTTAGTATGAACAAGGTGATATTAGTTCTGTTTACTGTTAGATTGGTGGCCATGGTTAAGAAAAACAATTACTATTATTTCCGTGTGACGTATGATACCTCAGATTATAGTCAAATACCTAGGTTTCAAAATATACGTAAACTACTCAGGTCCCATAAGCAAAACATGGTGATATCTAGATGATGGAAATTGCATCTGTAGGTGTCGGCAACAGGTACATCGCAACCGTGGCGTCCTGTGCCGATGTACAATGTCATCTGCAATTTTATCTCCACATGGCGTTGCATTATTGGCATGGGATGACCCGGTGGCTGTGTACCCGTGCTATGGATTCATTTGAAGTAATGTAGTAGACTTTCTATAGTATGGTATCTCACCTAATTATTGTTTCTTGTACAAATGATCAGGGCCGAGGGATGTTGACTCTCTAAAGAACTTTGTCTTGGACGAAGCTGAAAAGGCAGCAACAAAGGCGCAGCTTGACAGTGATAAAGAGTTGTAGTAAGCTATCAAGTAGACACCTTGCGAAAGCAAATTGTGAAATCTAAAACATTCGAGATAATTGTTTGCAAAGAATGATTTGGGAAATATTAATCCCACTGCTCCTCAGGAATTGATGTGTATGTACCAATATATGCTTTTATGGACATCGACTCAGCTTCAGTAGTGGGTTCGGGCACAACAATTTTGACTCGGGATGACAACTCCAGTGGGGCAATTGCTAACTACAACTGATACGTACGCGGGGAAGAGCAGCTTGTATTCATAAATGAAATTCAGGTAGTAATTCTCACGGGATATTTTGTTTGGGTGTTGGTTAGGTTGGTGGAAGTGTCCATGTTTAAGTTATTACTGATTTAAATTGATCTCATCGCGTTACAAGATGTTTTAGAAGATGTTTTGGAATGTTCATGTTCATGTTTGGATTTATAAGATGTTTTGGAAAACGGATATGATGCAATCGCGTTACAAGAGATGTTCTCATCGCATTCAATGAGAACACCAAAAGATTGCTATTATCTTCATCAAAAGCAACATGTACAACTTCATCTTAGCATTGCAGAGTAAAGTAATACCGCACACAGAGTGGCATTCACCGCATAAAAACTCGGCACACCTAAAATTCAACTCGAAAAGGCATGTCAAAAACAATTGACGTAGAACAATAAGTTATATTTCTGTTCTGGTCGCAAAGGAGTAGGCAAGGAAAACATAAAAGCTAAAGCAAAGACACAAATTTAAAAGAGAAGCAAGTTTAACAACGATTGCAAACATTAATACAAATTGTCCAATAACCAACTACACGACCGATTTCAATGTATAAACCAACAAAAAACCATAACGAATAGCATTCAACACAGCTTGCCGAGCAACCAGAATCGCTTCTAGCCGCTCAGCTCCTCCACAATCCTTGCAGCAAGGCATGAGGGCTACGATGTAAAACTTGTAAAACCTGTCCAACTCTGAGAGTAGGCACAAAAATGGAAAATATACGACATTCGACAAAACTGATCTAGCTAAGGGCGGACAATAACATAAAACACTTCACTTCTTCTTGGCTGCGGCCTTGGTCACCTTGGCACCAGTTGGCTCCTTCTTCTCCACACTCTTGATCACACCCACAGCAACGGTCTGGCGCATGTCTCTTACAGCAAAACGTCCAAGAGGTGGGTACTCAGAGAAGGTCTCGACAACCATGGGTTTGGTGGGAATCATCTTAACCATACCAGCATCTCCGTTCTTCAAGAATTTGGGCTCCTTCTCAAGCTCCTTACCGGATCGCCTGTCAATCTTGGTCAAGATCTCAGCAAACTTGACAGCAATGTGAGAGGTGTGGCAATCCAGCACTGGAGCGTAACCATTTCCAATCTGCCCAGGATGGTTCATGATGATGACCTGAGAGGTAAAGTTGGCAGCCTCCTTTGCAGGATCATCCTTGGAGTTGGAAGCAACATAACCACGCTTCAGATCCTTGACAGCAACGTTCTTAACATTGAACCCGACATTGTCACCAGGAAGAGCCTCCTGAAGAGCTTCATGGTGCATCTCAACAGACTTAACTTCAGTGGTCAGACCAGTGGGACCAAAGGTCACAACCATACCAGGCTTCACAACACCAGTTTCAACTCGTCCCACAGGCACAGTTCCAATGCCACCAATCTTGTAGACGTCCTGAAGTGGAAGACGGAGGGGCTTGTCTGAGGGCCTCTTGGGCTCATTGATCAGGTCAAGGGCCTCAAGAAGGGTTGGTCCCTTGTACCAGTCTAGGTTGGTGGACCTCTCAATCATGTTGTCACCCTCAAATCCAGAAATGGGGACAAAGGCAATTTTGTCAGGGTTGTACCCAACCTTCTTGAGGTAGGATGAGACTTCCTTGACGATTTCATCGTACCTTGCCTTTGAGTACTTGGGAGTGGTGGCATCCATCTGCAAAATTCAGAAATAATGAAACATGAGTTAGAACCGTCCACAAATAAGTACAATCATAACGACTGAAATGTCCACAAATAATGTATAAGACCCACCTTGTTGCAGCAGCAAATCATCTGCTTGACACCAAGAGTGAAAGCAAGCAGAGCATGCTCACGGGTCTGACCATCCTTGGAAATACCGGCCTCAAAACCACCAGTGGTGGAGTCAATAATGAGGACAGCACAATCAGCCTGGGAGGTACCAGTGATCATGTTCTTGATGAAATCACGATGTCCAGGAGCATCAATAACAGTGCAGTAGTACCTGGTAGTCTCAAACTTCCACAAGGCAATATCAATGGTAATACCACGCTCGCGCTCAGCCTTGAGCTTGTCCAACACCCAAGCATACTTGAATGACCTCTTGTTCATCTCAGCAGCCTCCTTCTCGAACCTCTCAATGACACGCTTGTCAATACCTCCAAGCTTGTAGATCAAGTGACCAGTGGTGGTTGACTTCCCAGAGTCGACGTGGCCAATGACCACAATGTTGATGTGAACCTTTTCCTTACCCATGATGGGATCTCAGCAAGTTATCTGAAAGTACAGAAAACAGCAATCATCAAAACACAACAGGCAATTAGCCTGAATGAAATATACAATCGTCTCAGTGTGGCCAATTCATCATCAAACAATTAGGCAGACAGCATATATTATATGAAATTAAATCCAAATCAACAATGTACAAGTATTTATGGAAATATAAAATTGAACTCAGTCCCTTAGATGTACTTAGATATGCGATCATTACCGCAAATCATTACAGGTCTGAAGGAATCATCACAGTTACCACAAAATAAGTACATATTTACTAGGATTTACAAATTAAAAGAAACAAAGATAAATTTTAATTTAATTTAAAAACATGCAAAACCAAAAAGTTAGTTGCTACAGTGTTCCTAAACAAACGAGAAAATTGAACTCAGTCCCTTAGATGTTCTTAAATCTGCGATCACATCCGCAAATCATTACAGGTCTGTAGGAATCATCAATGTTGCAATCAATTTACTGAACCCAAATGCATAATATTTCTAAATGTAACAAAATTAAACGTTTTAAATACAAATTTCGAAATTAATTTATGAAAAAGTTTAGTTGCACCAATAATCCTCAAATAAACAAGGGAAAATTCGAGGTAAAAATTTATGGAAAGCAACACGATTAATATTGCTTCAAGGGAACGAGTCACATGGAACTGATAAATCCATAAACCAGATAATGAAGCCTAATATAGTAAAAAAGATAAACCCAAATCTGATTAGATCTTCCCGCATCTGATACAAGAAGCTAAAGGATTTGCATGCACATTCAAGAACCCAGTTCATAAATCCTCAAACATTTTCGGAAAAAAAAAAAACGAAAAACACAAGAAACCCACATGCAGCTTCTTCAAAACCCACGAACGCAAATGAAAATTTTCAACACAAACCCACAGATCCAATCACAAATATTCATCCATAACCAAAACCCAGATCATTGATTCACTTCAATAAATCGGATAACATGCAAACCGAGAAGATTTCAAGAATTTTGAAGCCATAAAAGTTGAAGCAGAAATGCTAACCTTAAGTAATCGAGGAGTGAAAGATGGTAGGGGGTTCTCTCTCGCCGCAGACTTTGTAATCAGGAGCGAGATAGAGGAGAGGAAGATCACAGTGAGGAGCTCGGGGATTTAAAGGGGAGCGAGTGCAGCGTCAGTTTCGTTAGGGTTTCTTTCTGAGCCGTTAGATTTTGGGGATTTGATCTAACGGTTGTAACGTTTACTTAGCACTGCGGCTGGCTTGCGAGTATGGTGATGCCCTAATGTTTACACATGATGTTGCCACTTCGCTCTTTCGCATTTTCTTTCTCAGTAAATGACCATCTTGTCCTTTCATTTCATTATGTTTATTTACTTCTCTCGTATTTCGTATTTCCTGCTTATTGAGTTCTTGCATAACGGTATGGGGTTTGAATTCTGTCAGTAACTAATCAAATATTTAATCTAACAAAATATATAGTTTGACAAAAAAAAAAATAAAGATCAAATAAAAAGAAAAGCAAAAGTTTTAACTCGAAAACCTACTCACTAGAAGTCAACAAAGATGTGCCAATAACCATGAAATATAAAATACAAGAGAATTTTTAGTGTGCTCAAAACACAATGATACATCATGTGTCACTATATAAATAGTGGGATGCTTTTGTTAAAAAATTAACAACTTAAAAAATAAAAAATTTCACCACTTATATAATGACACGTGATATCTATCTCTGTTCCTAACACACTGAAGAATTTCTGCATAAAATGCCAAATGCCATAACGAGATCAAGTCGGTAGAAAAGAAACCTTGCCTAGCTTGACCATAAAACGCCATCCAAGAAGTGTCATCCGCTTAACATCCTTCTTGCACCAAATCTCTCTCAAATCACTTGGTTGGAATATGAAGACTTACAGAATTCTTTTTTGTGACAGCAGCTATAAAAATGAAATTTGCCATTTCCATTAAAGATGGTCTAAAATATCAAACTCATACGTAATGAAAAAACCACTAGACTAATTATGGGTAGAATTGGCACTAAGATGTCAACATTTGGGATTTGGTGTGGAGATCAATTTTCTGGGTAATTATTTCAATTCAAAACGTATTTGGGCCAAAAGTTGGGTTTAGGCCAATCTAGTGGATCCCGTAACAAACCGCACGTGCCACTTTTTATTTTTTCTTTTGCACACATGCCTCCTTTGTGATATATAACGCTTTGTATTGTCGTAAAACAAGGAAAGGATCCTCTCTGATCCTTTCTACCAAATTCACCAAATTCATCAATTCGGGCTCTTGAAATTTGATCAACCGATTAAAAACATGGGCTCCTTTAAAAGTTGTAATAACTTTAACCATTGGATCAAATTTCAAAGGTTCGAATTAATGGATTAGGTGGAAGAGATTTGAAAAAATCCTTTCCGTAAAACGGCACCACTTGAGCAACAACAGCAAACGTTCAGCAATATTTAGCAAACAAAGGTTAGCAGCCACTAGGGGTGGGCAAACGGGTATAAGAACCGTGTGTCAGGACAAGTAATCAAGGTTCGGGACGGGTACGGGTACTGCCCATTCTTAATTTTTAAAAAGAGAAACGTGGCTGGACGGGGCGGAGCTTTGAAATTTTAAGAGCAGGGCGGTTCCAGAAGTATAGAAACAGATACCCGGACCGGCCGGTTTGTAATTGCAATGGACGGACGAGATTGAAAGGAACCTACCAGCAAATCTGAACCGTTAGTTTTACCCTAGGACCTAGGTCTCCCGAGCTCGACTCTGTCACTGGAGTCCTCGAACTCGACTCGATTCTCTCTGGCCGTCTCGCCTCGTCGTCTCCTCCACCACCCCGGGCTCGACTCTGTTGATTATGACCTCGTCGTCAACAATGCCCAGACCAATGAAGGTTGGTTCTGATTTAGTTATTACCTTCTGAACATGTTGAAATTAATCACAGATATGGGTACTGACAGGTTGTATGAGAGTGAGTGTGTCTGATTGAGTGGTAAAATCGTCGACCACCACATTATCTCTGGTGAAGTGAGTCAATCTGAGTGGGGACAGCTTGTGTGAGGTTGAAATCTGGGTTCTTTAGGAATGGTTAATCTGACTAGAACTTCCTGGGAATTGTGGGTTGTGATGTGGAGATTCAAATTTTGGTAGCTTTTATCCTTGCTCTCATGGATTATATCATTACAATATTTTATGGTCTTTACGAGCTATGTTTTGTAATTTCAGAGTATCTTGATGAAGCGATGTTGATTCCCAAAAATACGTCAGTTGTATTGTTACTGATTCAGAGTACTATCTCAGATCCTTTAACTTCTCGTCTTTAGTTTAGTTGCAAAATCCATAATCAATTTAGAGTTGGCATTATTACTCTGATCTTGTGTTTAATGAATCTGTGACATGGGTAGTCCCTGTTTTGCATCTTCGTTGGAGTTATTGCCATGTGCTTGGATAGGATGATTGTGTTTCTTGTGACCCCTAGGGCAGATTTCAAGGGTTGGTTAAGTTAGGCTATTTTTATTTCTTTTGTTGTAGGCGAAGGTGGAAGATAAGGTGGAGTACACTGAACCAGAAAGGACTAGTCTTCCCACTGTATTCATTTAACCATTCGTACCCACTATTGATTTTGGTCTGATAAATGTAGATGGTCAAGAGTAACTCATACATTTTTATCGTTTCTCTCTTGCAGCTGTCTGGAAAAGAGTGGCGCCAGATTCTTGAGGTTGGTTTCTGTAAATTTCATCATTTTATAGCCTTAAGAACTTATATTCTGGACTGATTTGTCTTGAAACCACACTTGCTGCTTAAATTCATTATCCTCATCTTGTGCATGACATCATTTATACATTGCACGAGATCAAATAATCACCGACTGGTTGGTTGGCAACCAGAATGTTAATGCTTAGAACTTATATGGTGGATTTCCTGTTCTGTGTCTAATTTGAGTCTATTGTTAGCTGCTGTTCCTTTTTCTCAGGGTTGAGCCTATTTTTAAGATGCTCCTCCTTTTTCCCTCTGCTTCTTGCATTCCTGTTTAGGCATTATTTATTTTCTTTAGGAACTGGAAGATCCTGTGACCCTATAGTTCTGTTGACCAATGTCAGAAGGCATTCACAATGTAATAAAACATATGCAGCCCTATATTTTAGTAGTCTTGTGTTATGATTCTGTGGTCTGTTCTGTTTGTAGTTAGGTTAACTTAGTTTGAAGATCAGCTGCTATGTAGTTACATTAACTTAGTCTGGCATCGTAATGCTTCTTTAGGGTGCTGTAAAACTGTAAAATCTGTAAAAATTGTGTTTTTTATTTCCCAAAAAAAAAAAAAAAGGGGGACCCATGTACCCGTACCAAACCGGCCCGTTTCCGGTTCCTGTTTTAAAATCTGTTGTACCCGCCCCGGACCGATCCATTTTTTTTTAAACTCTAGTCCAGTCTGTTCCTTCAAAATTGGGCCCGGCTCGGCCCATGCCCAGCCCTGGCAGCAACCAAGTACGCCTCCCTTTTTACTCTAGTTCTGTTCAGATTCTTGAGGTATGAATACATGTTACTAAAATGGATTCTGTTCCTAGTTTTTTTCCTTTTTCACATTCACCCACCAATTAATGCTGGTTTTGAATTTACTAAAAAAGCTCTGCAAATGCATGGGTTGTGAAGAATTCATTGGTACCCGATAAAAAATCATGGGTTTTGGAAGAAAAAATTGATTAATGTTGTTGCTTTGGATTTGGAGTAATTAAGTGGTGTAAAGTTTGGAGCTTTGAAGTAATATATGCCTGGGTTTTAAATTTGCAGTAGAAACTTGATGGGAATTTTGTAAAAATGTGTTCAAATATGCTTATAAATTATAGGGAGGCAGCTACTGATGTTGTTGTGAGCACATTTTGCAAGAAGGTTTGAACTTTCGGAGTAGATTTGAACCGGTTTAATCAAAACCCCCTTCATAGGACTATAGGAGGTTTGGTTCTGCATTGTTATGGAACAAAAAAACTTACATTGATGTGCTGAATATTCTTATTGGGTGATTATGGAATATACATAGCTAGAGTGGGATCCATATCTATACGTTATTGATCATTGATTTGTCGTTCATATTATTGGTTCCCGAAAGATTGATTATGTGGCTGTTGATATGGATCCCACTCCAACTACAGTCGATATGGGTGATTAGAATATGAAATCATATAATTTTCTATCTTTGCATCACCCCAACATGAATCCTTTGTGGAACTGTATTCGTTTCATGTGAATCAAGATCTGACAAGATGAATACTAAGTTAAACCAATGCTCGATTTCCCCTTTTTTTTAATGTACAACACAGAATTAAGTTAGCTTCTGAGGAGAGGACCCTATAAAGAATTATTATAAACTTCTCTTTTTTATTTAGGGATTCATAAGAATCAGAAAGGGACTGGTTGGAGAAGTTCTCTGCTATGGTATTCTCTCTCTCTCTCTCTCTCTCTCTCTCTCTCTCACACACACACACACACACACACACATATTTCTATCATAACTCTCATGATTTATCTATTGTATTATTGCAGATACAATTTCCGTTGTCTTAATTCCTCTCAAGATTTTAATTTTCGCAGACTCATGCATATTTCTTCAATCCTAGGTATCATTGGGGATGCGTTTGTAATTGATATTATTTTCTTATTTCCATTGTTCCTTTATGGTGACAAATGGCTTCATCTTGTATTTATGTCTCAGGAAAGTTGATGTGAATGGCGATTCCACATTTGCATTTTCTGCAATCTGTGAGAGTTTCTTCCCCTTGCCGCGTTTCCGTTTCTAACCGGTATCACTATGGTAGAAGCAATTTCAGTAGAAAGAGCAGTTCTCTTGTTTATGCTTCCTCCACCAGCAACTTTGACAGGGACCTCCATCTGCAATCAAAGGTACCTATTTCACTAACTTAATGTTGATTGTCATTCTTTACTCGAAATATTTCTAATCGAGATGTTGAATAGAGAAATTACAGAAGGATTCTTCATTGTTTGAATATGTTTTGATAAACCCATCAGCATTTACAGAAATCAGTACTGAATAGAACCGCAACACCCCTTCTTTAGCTGCTTCTGATGATAAAGATAGCCTTGTTATATCTTCTTTTTGAATTACACTGCTTCATTTTGTTCTTGTGACTTAGCATGAATCATCCTTCAGAATGAGTGGTAATACTGCTTAACCAAGCCCTAAATTTTTACTTAACCCATGTTCTTCGGAAATGCAACTCTACCATACAGGGCACTACATGATTCAGTAAAAAGAAAAATTGTGTTTCGTCTTCTTAATTTTTCTATATTTATGGAGTTCCTATCATTCACTATTCATAATAGGTGTTTACTAAGAATTATACAGAAGGAAATTTGACGTAGTTTGTCATTTCCTGATATTTGATTTGAGCCCCATCTGGACTCTAGAGAGCAACCCCCTTTCCTTGAATGTACAAAACATATACCTACAAGTAGTGCCAATAGATGACATGTATTCATCTTCACTTAGTTTCGTAAATGTGCTAAACTTGTTACGAATCACTCTCATATCGTGACAAAGACTGTAGTGCCAATAGATGTAATGTATGCATCTTCACTTAGTTTATTTTGGATGCCGTCTTTTTCCTCTTCCCATTTTCAGGATAGAAAATGTAAATGGAGGAGATTATAACATCCACCAATAATATTTCAGGTTGAAACAGTGTTAGACAGTGTAAAATGGGATGAGAAAGGTTTGGCGGTTGCCATAGCTCAAAATGTTGACACAGGAGCCATCTTGATGCAAGGCTTTGCTAACAGGGAAGCAGTGGCTACGACAGTTTCCTCCCGGAAGGCTACATTCTACAGTCGGTCGCGATCAACATTGTGGACAAAGGGAGAGACCTCCAATAATTTCATTAATGTTCAAGAAATCTTCCTTGATTGTGACCGAGACTCCGTATGTCATTGGCTAGTTTAGTTGGAACCCATTTTCTAATCCTCAACTACTTTAACTCAGACCTTTTTCTCAGATAATATACCTTGGGAAGCCTGATGGACCTACTTGCCACACAGGCTCAGAGACGTGCTATTACACCCCAGTGCTTGATTTGTTGAAACACCGACAGGTTTTCAACATTTAATCGATTATAGTAACCTACATATTTTTATCAAGCATCAAATTACTTGTTTTGTACGTGATTTAGATGATTTGTGACAGGAGGAAGAACATAAATTGGCATTGACCACCTTGTACTCATTAGAATCGACAATTGCCAAGCGAAAAGAAGAATTAGAAGTTCCACAGGGTGGAAAGCCCTCGTGGACTCGGCGTCTACTATCTGATGAGAAGTTGTTGTGCTCAAAAATCAGGTAAGATGTTCAAAATGTCGTAGGGTTTCAGACTTTAGTCAGAATGATATAAATTTGCTTGGTATCTTAACTTCTCATTAAGTAATATGCTTGTTAATATCGGATGCAGGCTTTTGGGTGGTTCTAGTTATGATTTTATCCTCATTGTCGAAGACTATATTACAAAATGAGCTATCTTCTGTATTTTCACTTGTAAGCCTCTGTTCACGGTTTTTCTTTCTCATCCCAGGGAAGAGGCGGATGAGCTATGCCGAACACTTGAGGAGAACGAAGACAGGCTGCGTGCTGCCTCAGAGATGGCAGATGTACTTTATCATGGCATGGCTTTGCTGGCCTGTAAAGGCGTGAAAATGGAAGAGGTTTTGGAAATTCTTCGGCATAGATTTTCTCAGTCGGGTATCGAGGAAAAGAGAAATCGCAAGTCACAAGCGTAGACATAGGCAGCTTAGCTTGTCAGGTTTAATGATATGCTTTGATCAAATTTTCCTGTTCTTCTTAATCGTTTTATTCACCAGCTACTGTGGTCTCAATTGCTAAAAGGCGTATTTATGAACGTTTATTTGCAGCTAATTTGATTAGTGTGTGTTTTAAACTGATTTCGTTGTGAGTGTCAATTGTTTGGATTCGAAATTATCAACGTATATCCGGTTGATCAGTAGTCTTGTTACTTAGGTACTCCTTAATTATGTTTATGGAGAAAATCCTAATTAATTGAGAGGGAAAAGAGTACAAGGAACGTACAATTATGGCTAGTTTGGGCTTGCTGTATTTTTTTTTTTTTTCCAAACTTGCTTTTGCTATGTTGTAAGAATAAACCGTTGTGAAAAGATTTTTAAAAAAAAAAAAAAAAACAAATGTTGGATATACTATATGGTAAAAGTGCTTTTAGCAAGAAAAAATAGGGTTAAGATTGTCAATATAAAAGTTTCATTAATTGATGCTATTCAACTGCCTCTAATGAAAAAAAAAACGTTTTTTTATTGTAAGAATGTGTAGAGGTGTTTATGCTTTCTATTAGTTCGGACCCATCATTTTGATTTTTATATGAATATAGATCTATTTTTCTTTCTAAATAGATCTATATATTCTTTCGCCCAGCTAACCAGCAAGCTCTAACCCGCCCATCTATCTTTTGATTAACCATTGCCCAAGAGGTTCTCCGCACTTTCAAAAGAACCAAAGGTCGAAGAGGATTCATGGCTTGGAAGCCTCTACGCTTTCTTCCTTTGCTAAAGCTACCGGAAAGCAGGAACCTGCAGGCATTCACAAGCCCATTACTTTCCAAGCCTTCTTGTTTTTGACCCTATAGTGGAACTCAGCCTTTTTTCAAAAGCCTCATTTTACACTTTTCAAGTGTAATTTTCTTACTAATTATATAAGGTTTAGAATGTAAAATGATATTTTTAGCGTGCTAATAACAATTCCCTTTAAATAAATAAAAAATTTAATGATAGAAATAAATAACAAAAACGATTTCTGCTGCCGGGATTCGAACCCGGTTGTTGTGAAACAATGCTCAAACCAATTTTTTGTGCTACAGCGGCATTTTAAATGCTAGTAGAGCAATTTAAAAAAATATTTAAACGTAAGAGACTCGTTGCAATTCGTGGCCAAATTTCAAGGAAGAGGATCCTCTCCTGAGCTCAGGATGGGGATGCTCCTTATCAGCCCATCTGGACCCTTCAAATTTAATTTAATGGTTGCAATTATTATAACTTTTAGAAGGTCCTCTGTTTGGAGCCGTTGGATTAAATTTGAACGGTCCAGATGGACTGGTTAGGAGGTTCCGCATCCTGAGCTCAAGAGAGGATCCTCTTCCAAATTTGAATCCCTTGATCTTTATATGTAAACCCAAGGGCCTGATGAACAATATTTTTTGGTGTCACAAGTTTCACCAAAAATAATTGGACAAAAATACCCCTCAAACAAAAAACTTTAAAAGCAACTTAAAATAATGCATCAAATGTGGCAGGGGTATTTTCGTTAATTAAACAGTGTTTTTTTAATAATTAATTTTTATGTAGATTTTTATTTTTTTTAATAATTAGTACCTCACAATAGGCTAGTAATAATGTGATTCAATCAGTTTTTCATCAAATAGTATTTTCTCTATATTTAAACACGTCTAAAACATCTTAAGAGGCTTGTAATGCCGGTCATAAAAAAAATCTTTCGCACGCTGATAATAATGTCATTAAATTAGTTGTCAAATGATTTTTTTTTTTTTTGTAACAAACGATATTATCTACTCTAAGGGAAGGGGATGGGCTTAGCCTCACAATAGGTTTACCCTCACAATGGGCTAGCAATAATGTAATTCAATGAGTTGTTTAGTAAATATTATTTTCTATATTCTTAATATAAATTCAATAGGAACCGATTTTATTATGTGGATTCAGCTGCTTTAATTGGTTTATGAGAGGTTTCTTTTAGCATGATCTAAGATTATTCATTTACTTCAAATAGTTGACCTTCTTTTTGTCAATTTACGCATATAAATACATTTAAAACGTGTAAGTCGCGTGCATGAAAGCTAATAGCATATTAAGTGAGTCGCCAACTAAGATTGACCGATGGGTGGCCATAATTTTAATTACGTGGGTTTAGGAGAACATGGCCATATATCTACGTGTCAAAATATCACAATCATCTCCGAATTCTTATTTTTAATATATGCTTTTTTATACTATAGTTCAACTGGCTGTGATTATAATTTAGATTCCAACCGCTTAAGGTTATGTAATATTCTATATATTGTAAACATTATACACATAAACAATCAAAGAATAATATTTCTATATGGTATCGGCCTAACTAGGTCCTAGGGTTTGTCCCAATCCTTTTCGGTCTAGGTTTTTCTCTCTTCCTTTTGTCTCCTCTTTCATCACGTCTTCCTCTTCTTATACTTCTCTACCCGACCCCAATACCATCCAATTTGTCAAACCTACCGAATCCAATTACCTTCACTTTTCAATTGGAATGAATTTATAAAGTAATGATCTTTCAGTAATGATCTAAAACATATGTTCATTGAGATATATTGTGGAGCAGATCCAAATAAATGGTTAACGTCACAAACTGATTAGTGCTTGAGTGTGTAATAGTACTAAAGACCAGCGAAAGAAAAAAATTAAAAAAATATATATATAAATCTAAACTTGGAAATTAATAGCTATTAGAACCCTTTGTCCAATGTTGACTATAGCATATTCAAAAGAAAACCAAAACCATGAAAAGAAAAATGAAACAAAAGCAAAACGATTGATCTTTCTTTACGCTTCAATCTTCAAATTACTTCTTTGACGTTGTTTGAGTAAAACAAGGCTCTCCAAGCATGTAAAAACACGACCAACTTTGCCGATTCCATTAATGTTGATTTTCCGATGGCTTTCGTCATTAAAATTGTACATGATTAACTGTTCTCCGAACACCATCAAATCATGAGACTCTGTCCAGAAACCGGAATGTTTTAACGTCGAATATGGGATGGAAACCCTCATTTTAGTCCAAGACTCGCTCACTCCATATTCCGTCATGACCCAAAACTCGTTATATGTTCCACCACGAGGATAAGAATGATGCGTTATGCATAACCAGTGTCTGAAGACTCCCAATTTCATCTTCCTCTTAATACTTTCAACAGAATCGCATTCAAGTGGGAGTGGAATTTCTCGAACCCTCTCCTCCCCCGTTAGAGTGAGGGAAACGATCACTTGCGACTGATCTTCGAGTCTTTCCCCAAACCAATGGAGATCTCCATTCAGCATAATCCCTTGTTGACTAGTAATGTACGGAAACAGTCCCTCAATCCTTCTCCAAGAATCGGTTTCCAGCGTAAAAACACTAAACACAACACCTTCATCGAAATCGTCGATGAAGGGGTTGGTTAAGCGATCGTGTTTATTGTAGATTCCCACAACCACCTTGTGTTCATAAGTGGAACGATCAAATCCAACCCCATATACCTTGACTGAATTCCGATAATTCTGGCAATTTCTTTGTTTCCTTGGTGGAGGGGTCAACCAAATATAACCTTGAGTCACACAACATGCATAACAAGTCGTTGCAGGAACACAACAAGGAAACGAAAATACCCGACACTTCGCTACAAACATACTCGTGCTCGATGGCTGATACTAAATTCTGATCATCGGTATCATTATGATCGAGAAACTCGTCGAGGTGCATGGACTGAGTCCATTATGTGCCACATCAGTAACTATGACGCTTCGTCTTTGGCAGAGTAAACGGTCTTTGTCTTTGATTGCCTTGTTGAAGAGCATTGTGCTGAATTTGGGGTCTGCGATTAGAGAACGCCATGGCTTTGAGACGCACTCAAAGCGGCATAAGGACTTAACCGGCAACCATGAAAGAATCTCGCGTACGATCTCGGACGGAAGGTTGTTAGGGTTTTCCCTCAGCTGGTGTTTCATTCTCCTGTAGAGAGAGAACTAAATTATTAGGGTTTTCACTCCAAAAGATAATTAACTGACTTTTCCAGCAACTTAAATATTAGGGGTAGTTTGCTATGTTGGTATTGAACAAGGAATCCAGCAGGGTTAAGGGTCCCTAATCCCTATCAAAGGTCCTATCAAAGGTAACTTAGGAGTCTGTTTAAATAATTCACTAGAAGGATTCTAGAACTAATTTCCGAAAAACAAAATAACAACAAATCCTTATCCACTAAGTGGGGTCGACTGTAATTTCCGAAATACTATAGATAAATTTTCAAAAAAATTAATCAAGGTCAAGAGATGGGAAAAGAATTAATGAAAAAATCCGCAATTATTTACCCAACTTCTGCCCCCTCCCCTCAGAACAAAATTCTTTCCGCATGTGGTCTCTTCAAATCTGTTTCCCTCAATTAGAATGCATCTAGTTCGGAGTACAACTTTTTGGGTATGCCAATCCAGTAACTTCATAATTAAACAAGTAAAATCACATGACATACGTGTATTTACCAGGCCTCCGATTAACAGCTAGAGGAATCATGAACATGTGAGATTCAACAAGACGACAGCCGACAAAATAGTCATAAGCGTTCATCCACAATGTCTGTAAAGCAAATCTCGACAACTTTCTGTGACCTGTGACCTGCGAGATCATGCTTGGTGAATATTGTGGATGGCTGCATTGATGCTTTGTGAATCAAATTCCATTATCTTCATCCATTTCTCAAAGTCTCCGATTTCCTACGACACAAACCCACAAAAGAGTCGGAACTATTAGCACATTCCACTCTCAAGAACTTCAGAATTTTCGGCACAGCTATTGCCAAAAAGAAAATGTTAAAAAGCTATGTCATGGACAGGAGCATGACGCATGCCCGTGTGGCTTTGGTTGCGACTATAGCTCACATTTCTCAAAAGCTAATTATTATTTTGTTCCTTAGAAGTTATATGAACCTTAATGGCAGTGTTGATAGAGCACATGACTGAGAGCCATTGATCAGTCCGTTTGCCGAATTGGGAAATGGTGGCAGTCCATGCTTGAATTTCAAGATCGATCCGTTTCTCATTTACAAACAACTCTTTCACCCCACGTTCACTGCTTCCACCCCACGTTCACTGCTTCCACCAGAAGCTCTGCCACACTCACAGCCCTTCTTAGTGGCATCATTCTTCGCCTTCTCTGCCACAATCACTCGCATTATTCTTAACTATTTATTTAGTAATTAATTCATTCAAACAGTTGAGAATTCTGGCAACATAAAGAAACAAATCATAGATTGAATGTCGGGGGGACTGACCAGTGAGTCTCTGGATTCTGAGGGAGGTATGGTGGTGCTCTTGTACCAATTGAGCAAAGAATCTTCTAGTTCTCTGGGTTTTGTCTTGGACGAGCACGATGCCACGGGAGCATGTTCAAAGGGAAGAGATGCTGGTGAATACATGCTCAGCAGAAAGTTCTCGGAGAGTGAGCTGTGCTGATTTCTTAACAGCACTGTTTGAGGTGGGCTAAAATGTTATTGTTTCCTGAAACGATTTTCGACCAAATGGCAACATTTTGTGTAATCATCAAACACAATGTATTGATGCACCGGCTTAACTTCAACAATAAGAGGGGTAACTTGTAAAACGTGTTTATCTGCAACAACAAAAGGAAACACTGGATCAGATTCTATTCACATCGAAAGATGCTAACTAATAGCTTTCCTTCAAGATAAGACATTAAGAATACTTCTCAGTTAACAAGGTAGAGACTCAACCAGTTCCAACAGGTACACTTATTTGATATAAAAAAAGCTTCACCAAAAATTTGTTACAAAGATTGTGTAATATATATTCAACTTGGCTACAAGTGACTGATACTGACAGTTATAACTTCTAATCACAATGAAATGAATATGCGGAAAACAGATATATACAAAAGATTTAAAAATTAGTCGAATTGTGTCTTCATATCCACTTTGGCCGATGCACGCATCAACAACCAACGCAGAAGAATTTAACCACACCAACTGCCATCACTTATAGACTGGCTCTAATTTAGACAGCCCAGACTAAAATACTGGAAGTCTGGTAAATTTGTTCTAGATAATATCAAAGTAAATGGGAAATGTGCTTGCAGGTGATCAATGACACTACCTGAATTGAGCATCAGCATTTGGATCTCCATAGTCATCTTCAAGCACATATAGAAGCTTCCTGTAGGCATGCCCATTCAGAAGGTCTTTCTCTTCGAATTCCTTCAACAACTTCATAGCCTCGCCAACCCTTCCTTGTCTGCAGATTTCATCAAGTATTGTCTTATAAGTAATGAATTCAGCTGATCTTCGATTCTCAATCATCTCCCACAGATACTTCAGTGCTTCCTCAACCTCTCCATGAAGAGCCAAAGCATTCACAAGTGAGTTGTATGATTTACTACTCGGCATAAACCCTTTGCTCTTCATTTCATTGCACAGCTGCTTAGCATTATTTGTTCGGCCTTGACAACATAACCCATGGATGAGATAATCGTAGGAAAATGAGTTTGGTGTGCATTTATAGACCACACCCATCTGATGGAATATTCTAAGTGCATCATTGAGATGAAGGGATAGTACGTACCCCTTAATCATAGAATTCAAAGAGTAAATATCAGGCTCAATCCCATCATCCACCATTTGCCGAAACAGACACCTGCTTGTCTCCATATACATGTGATTTATGTAAGAATTAGATCCCCTACTCAAAAAGGCTGTAAAAAGAATATTGTACGTCCTGATTGAAGGCCTACACTCCATGTTTCTGCTATTCCTCATGTGTTTAAATATATTGACAGCTCTAGTCAACTTCCGAGCTTCCGTGAAAAAATAGATAATGGAATTGTAAAGCGCCTCAGAACCAATGTAAGAAATAGCAAGCACTTGGTTGACAACATCATCCATTTCTTGATACATTTTAGCTATGCCAAGTTTCTTTATCATAATGTGGTAAGTAGAAACATAATGTCTGAACCGTGGCTGTTGTGATGCCCAGTTGAACAACTCTAAACACACAAAAGGATTGTCTTGCTGAGTTATAACATTGCAAAGTTCTTCAGGTGTAAATCTAGGCAACAACTGGGATAAGGCCCTTTGAAACTGGACTTCATCAAGAGTTGATCTATTGGATTCCGATCTTTTACGTTCTCTCCTTCTAAACGATCGTGATGGGGGCTTGGTCGAGTAAAAATTATACAGCAAAAACCGCTCATATACACCAAAATATCCATTTGAAGCGATTTTGGGAACTGGGTCAATTTGGGTTTGAATCAAATAGTGTATAGGCCTCAATGTGCTAGTGATGGAATTCAAACTATATGAAAGAACATCCTTTCTAAAGCAATATCTACGAACAGAAATCATATTACCGAATGATTTACCGTAAGATCGAAGTACCAAGCTTCGCAATACTGCACTTCTTAATTTGGTTGTGCCACCTTACGCATTATGAACTTCTAGCCTGAAAACTGAAATCACAAGAAAACAAATCATCAAGGCTCAATCAGACAATTACTTTTAAAGATAGAAAACAGATAAAACGAAAAAAATCATGGCCCTTCATCATCAAACATAAATTTTTTGAAAACAAAAAAAATAAAATGAAATGATTAGAAAACCTGACTTAAATTAGACCTTTCTATATGATTATACAAAATAAAGCTAACCCAGAATCCAAAATCCACATATTACAAAATTCTCCAGCATTACTCTGAAAACTGACTGAAACAAGGGGGTGAACAATGCGCAATTTATACCGAAACCGATACGAAATAACAGACGCTTAGCTTTAAAAAATTAAAATAAAAAATAATGAAAAATGCTTGAATACCTAGCCAATACAGAAGCATTGATCGCAACAGTTTGCAGAAGAAAGAGAAACAAAATACAGATTACTATTTGTATTATTTCTATTCCTTTAATTCTTTTTTGGCTTTCTCGGCAACCAAACAGGTCTTGAGGAAATGAAAAGAAGTTGGGAAGAAGATTACCTGGAAAGTGGCAAAGACGAGTTTGGTTGTTGAGATGATGGGAAGAAGCTCACATCAGAATAAAACTCACCGTTCTAAGGACTCGGATCCTCTGGATCCCCTTCTATCCGGATCCTCCGAACACATTAATCCTAGCCGTTGAAGTAGATCGCGCGGCTAGGATAACTGTAGTTCTTTTTACATCTGTCAAAGTTGTCTCTTATCCAAAAGTCAATTGAACCTTAATACTTGTTTTTTCTTTTTGAATGTGACTGGTATACAGGATGGTACATCACATGTCATTATACAAATAATGAGATATATGTGCTAAAATGTTAATAACTTAAAAAATGAAATTTTCCACCACTTCGATTAAAACACGTGGTATATCACTTATATTCTTCGATTAAAAATTTCCCTTTTAATTGGCTGCCAAAGCCAAAGCCAAACCCTATTTTAGTACTTGTTGTAAGTTAGAATCGACAGAGGAACCACTGCAGAAGGAAAGGAGGGAGAAGAGATGAGGATTTGCAACTCAAAATTGAAGGAAATTGAACCACATACACAAACTTAGGTGGTTGACTGAACGGTGTTGTGAGATTCGGGAGAAAAGACTCATAAGAAGAAAGATCTGAAGACAATTAAATTAATTAAATTAATTAATTTAATTCTTGACTGCATGATTTGAATCCAACGGCCAAAATGACCGCAAGATTCGAAGACACAGATCTGTAAAGGATCTGAATCTCCGTTGCTGGACATTTTAGTTTGCACAATTGGGAGATTGCCCCTGAAAGTTTTGTGTCATTGACAATTCACTATTAATTAATTTATTCAATTAATAGAGAGGAAGCATATTATATATCGTTCTGCTCGGTGATGACTTTTAGGCTTCACGGTGGGGCATTCATACTGAAAAATTGGTCGCATTGGACTCGTCAATATGGCTTGGTGCAGCTTTTGTTTATAAGTATTTTAATTCAGTAGAAAACAAGACATAACAGTACAAATCACTTTCAAGAAATATGAACCAACAATACATTCAATGGATGCGTTTCAATTGTTTATTTTTCGATATTTTTAGAGGAATGTTAGGGATATCAAAATTTTAAACCAAATAATATTATAGATGATTGGATTGTGTTGATTACATGTCGATTAACGTGATTGTTTCTTATTAGTGACATGTCATTTGGTTTACAAATTTAGTTTAAAAATTAGGTAAATTACATTTTATCTCTTCAGGTTTGGGATCGATTTCAATTCCTTACAACATCTTTAAAATATTTCACATTCATACCTCAAGTATTATTTTATTTCAATACAATACGTCGGTTACATTTTTCATCCATTAGTCCGTTAAAAGCTAACGTGGCTGCCACATTTGTGCTGACGTGGTTGCCAAATTTATGCCACGTGGCAAAAAAAAAATTTATGCATTTAAAATATTATAATAATTTACCATATTTAAAAAAAAAAAATCCCTGAAACCATCTTCCCCGATCCTTTCTCCCTCTCCTCCGCTCTCTTCACCTCCCCTCCCATCTAAAAAACCCAACCCATCACCTCCCCACCCCAAAAAACCCAGATTATTTGTATGAAACCTGCAACCAAAAAAAAAATATATATATCCACCGATGCTTGGAGAGAAGGGCCGATATTCCCCAGTTGTCGACGGCGTAGACGGTGATGGTGGTGCGGTCATGATGTCCGCGGCAAGGTGGGTGAGGGTGAGGTAGTGGTTGAAGGTCGAGAACTGGGGATTTTGGGGGGTTTGGGGTTCTAGATCGAGAGAGAGTGAGGAGAGTGAAGGAGGGTCAGCATGTGATGTTGTGCGCTTCGGTGAGGGTGGTGAGGAGTGTGAGCGTGAGGAGGAAGGCGCTGGCGGTGAGGAGTGTGAGCGTGAGGGGGATTCTGGGTTGGGGGCTCGGGTGGGGAAGACAAACTGGGTTTTGCCTTCTTTTTTCTTTTTTTAATTCATTGTTTTTAATTTTTAATTTTTTTATTAAGTGTTTAGTCATGTGGCACAAATGTGGTAGCCACGTCAGCACAAATGGGGACCTCTTATTTGCCACGTCATCACTTAACGGTTTACTGAACAGATTTTCTAATGGATGTATGAAATTGAAATAAAATAGTACTTAAGGTATGAAAGTGAAATGTTTTAAAGATGTTGTAACGAATTAAAATCGACCCCAAACCTGAGAAGGTAAAATGTAATTTACCCTTAAAAATTTGATCTACTATATTGTCGTGGGGGATTAATACCGAACTTGTTTTAATGGGAGTCAAACTAAGACTTTGATTTACAATTAAAGAGGAATATTGTTACTTTATAGTGTAGTGAAGAAGAATATCGATCTCTTTGAGTCTTATTATGATTTGCACTCATATTTGATCTCCCGCACCAAATAATCCTACTACCTCCTTCTCTCACTTTAGTTTTGTGCCTCCACCATCTTTCTCTCATCTATTCCACCAAATTTTGAGTTCATAGGTTTTAGGAAAATTACTTTTTTTTTTTTTTTTAACAAAGGATATTACATACACTAAGTGAGTGAGAGAGTTGGTTAAGTCTCACAATCAGTTAGCAATAATGTGGTTCAAATTCGTTTTTTGCGAGAATCGAACCTAAGACCTCTCATTAATAAGTAAAGATGAATACACACAAAAAATGTCAAGATTTTAAAGAGATGAACAAAAAATATTTATCCTATGTCAAGATTTTAAAGAGATTGACCAATGGTCAACTTTCAACAAACACCAAAAATGTCTAACTTGCATTGTGCATACACATTCAAAACACAACATGTCTTGTATTTCATTGCAAACGGCCTTTATATAATGATTCATTATATATTTTATTTTATTTTGTCAATTTGTTGACGTGCAATTTTTGCAAGATAATTATATTCACACACCGATTTTTACTTTTTATTTTTGACAATCGTATCAAATAAATAGAAAGAGATCAATAACAAAAAATTAGTAAGTATGTAAAAAATAAAAATTGACGTGTAAATGTCACTTTCTTTTTTGTATCTCAAACTCCTTATAAGGTGAGCTATACATGCATCCATCTAATTCCACATTCGCGATGGATCTAAATTTTTGTAAGGACCCAATACTTCTGGCCCAGTCCATAAACTCGCTACAACGTCATACAATTGTATTTGGGGTGTACTATCCACACAATTCTTTTTACTTCATGCACACTCTCTTAATTTGTGATCATCGGATTGACTGAATTAAAAAGATCAAATAATAAAAATTAACAAGAACGTGTGAGAAGTAAAAAGATGAGTTCTTTTTTTATTGTTTTCTTCTTTATCAAATCATTTCTTATGTAATACAATAATGACAATCCTATATAAAAAGAAAATTATTTTAACTAAAAATATATAATGGTATCACAATCACACTAAAATGTTATCCCAAAAGTATATCGCTTAAACCTCAAATAGTTACGATTATCTATTCTTTTTGGGGGTTAGAAAGACTTACAGAAGTATTTCAGCTTCTCTTGTACACAAGTCTAGTTTCTCATGAGAAGTAAAAAGATGAGTACTTTTTTTTATTTGTTTTCTTCTTTATTAAATCATTTCTTATGTAATACAATAATGACAGTCCTATATAAACAGAAAATTATTATAACTAAAAATATATAACGGTATTACAATCGCACTAAAATGTTATCCCAAAAGTATATAGCATAAACCTCAAATACTTACGATTATTCATTCTTTTTTTGGGAGCAGATTTACAAAAGGATTTCAGCTTCTTCTTGTACACAAATTTAGCTTCCATGCTAGCAGTGTATTTCGAACTTGAGACCTCACACGTTTTTTTTTGTAGTGATTGAAGGAAGCTTCGGAGTCCTTACCATTGGATCGCTGACCCGTGGATAATCATAATTGTATTCAGGGAGGTTATGATCATCTGTAATTATTTATTAAAATACTTATATTGCAGGATGCCGTCAGCGGAAAAAAGCAATTTATTTATTAAAATATTAATATTGAAGGATGTCGTTTGCGGAAAAGGCGTGAATCCGGATTACCGAAATTTTTTTGAACATGCCAGGGCAGCACATTATGTAAGTTCAAGCAAACACTCACAACCGTCAGATCAAATCCTCGCTCATCCAAAGGCGGAGAGTAAAACCCTAGCCCTACAGAAGCCCCATTTCCCCCTATTTAAAATTCACGAGGCTCTCACATTTGCTATCCTCTGCTGTTCTCGCTCTTCACACTCTGAAAGTCGTCGAGAGAAAGCTCCTGAATCTTCCTGTCGCTCTTGTCTGTTTCTTCCAGGTTTGCTCAGATCTTTGTCTCTTTGTCGCAGATTTTAATATATTTAATTAAATTCTGTGCGATTCTATTTGTTCGATTTAATTTTGATCCTTTTAGATGTTAATTTCCTGCAAGTTTTTGAAAATTTTGAAATTTTTATGGGTTTTTTTTTTTTTGTTCGTTCACTGATGAATTGATGAACTGGGTTGTGGTTTTTGTTTGATATTTGTGATCAGATCTTGATTTCTGTGTGAATTGCATGTGGGTTTTAGGGTTTTCGTTTATCTGACACTGTTAGAGGAATTTATTTATTAATTTTCATTTGATTTGGGTTTTGGATTCTGGGTCTGTTTCGTCTGTTCAGATAGTTACAGGAAAGTATTATTTTAATTTTTTTTTTACGTTAATAAAAAAGAAAATATATGGTTTAATGTTTGTTTATTTGCTGATTGGATACAATCACGCATGTGTTACATTAAGATTGTAATAATCTTGATTTTGTTTTAATATTGTTTAATTGTTTATTAATTTATTTGTTAATAATCTTGGTTAATTTGTGGAATTTCTGAAACTTTATTTTTCCCCTTCGTATTTTGTTAAATTGCAGAAGAAATTGTTTCTCTGTTGTCAACAGTGTTGAATTTTCAGACCTGTAAAGATGTGCAGATATGATCGCTGATCTTTAGGAACATCTGAAGGACTCTGTATTTTGATAATCTTTGC